GAGCAGGATGGAGAACCTATTCTTCAACTTCACTGAAGAGCACCGCAAGATTCTCAACGATCTTGTACGCCAGAACCCCAAGTTGATGAGCGGAACTTTCTCCCTACTTGTGAAAAATTCCAAGGTGCTAGAGTTCGACAACAAGCGCAACTACTTCAACCGAAAGCTTCATTCGCGAGGTGGCGACCGACAACAACACCAGCCTCTCCAGCTCTCTGTTCGTCGAGACCAAGTCTTCCTAGACTCTTTCAAGTCGCTGTACTTCAAGTCTGCCGATGAGATGAAGTTCGGCAAGCTCAGCATCCGCTTCCACGGTGAGGAAGGTGTTGACGCTGGTGGTGTTACCCGCGAGTGGTTCCAGTCCATCTCACGACAGATGTTCAACGCCGACTACGCTCTCTTTGTACCTGTCGCTTCCGACCGCACGACATTCCACCCCAATCGCCTTAGTTCGATCAACCCTGAGCATCTGATGTTCTTCAAATTCATTGGTCGCATCATCGGCAAAGCACTTTACGAAGGCCGCGTCCTCGACTGCCATTTCAGCCGAGCGGTCTACAAGCAGATCATGGGCAAGCAGGTCAGTCTCAAGGATATGGAGACGCTTGACCTTGAGTACTACAAGTCCTTGGAATGGATGATTCACAACGAGATCACGGATATTATAACGGAAACCTTCTCAGTTGAAGTCGAAGCCTTTGGAGAGATGCAAACCGTCGACCTCATCGAAAACGGCCGTAACATTCCCGTTACCGAAGATAACAAGCACGAGTACGTCCGCCTCATCACTGAGCACCGTCTTGTAGGCGCCGTCCAAGAGCAGCTCGAGAACTTCCTCAAGGGCTTCCACGATATCGTTCCGGCGGAGCTCGTCTCCATCTTTAGCGAACAGGAGCTCGAACTTCTCATTTCCGGTCTGCCTGACATCAATGTGGATGACTGGAAGAACAACACCGAGTACCACAACTACACAGCTGCCTCGCCACAGATCCAGTGGTTCTGGCGCGCTGTCCGAACGTTCGAGAAGGAAGAGCAAGCCAAGCTGCTTCAATTCGTCACTGGTACAAGTAAGGTGCCGCTCAATGGTTTCAAGGAGCTCGAGGGTATGAACGGCTTCTCCAAGTTCAACATCCACCGCGATTACGGCAGCAAGGATCGTCTGCCATCTAGCCATACTTGCTTCAACCGTAAGCTATACCCCCTACCCTTTGTCTCAACCCAATACTAACAAATCTGACAGAACTCGACCTCCCTGAGTACGAGACGTACGAAGATCTTCGCAAGGCCCTTTACACCGCCATGACAGCTGGTGGCGAGTACTTTGGCTTCGCCTAAACTTACCCCGCTCGCTGTCACAAACAACGAACGAACGGCCTCTTTACCTCACGAATATCGCTTTTTCGATGATTACATATTACGATCTTCTTTGCATTGCAGGCGCAGGAAGGGGCGTGTATGTGTGTACCGGGATATGAACTATACCCTTTCAGGTGAGGGGTGAAGGAATGAGCATTTGGTAGATGAGAAGAAGAGTAGTGATTGATGGTTTATGCCCTGGGCTCTTTTTTTCTTCTTTTTCTCTCTCTGTGTACGAATATCAGTTCAAAATTGGAGTGGAGGGAGTTTTTCACGAGTTTATGAGATGGAGATGTGATGATGCAGGAATGCCTGGTCCAGCTGGCTGGTTTCGAACAGATGGGAAAGAGGATGGTCTGGGAGTGCAGGCCCGGGTTGTCTCTCTAGACCTTGATGGGAGACTGGTTGGGTGGACTGGGTGAGAGGATTAGTGAGGTGTTAGATAGAGGTTATGAGTTTCTTTACTCGATATGCTTGTTCTTGAGTCTGTGAACGGCGTGAAGTTTGATGGATGTTTTGCGTGAGAGTTGCAGTAATGGTGTCGTCATATTCACCTGGTATACTGAAGCGCATCGCTAGCTAGTGTACGCACTTTCCACGCATGTTCCTTTCAGTTCAAGTGTTGCGCTCATTACGTACCATGTCGAAAGTGCAATGGAGGGGCTTACCTGACCTGGGCAGTCAGGCACGGCTTACCCGATTAGGGCAACTATCGCATCCCACACATTGTGGGGGAAGGAGCACGAACAACATCACCTTGGTCCTTATAATCTGCTTTCTGGACGAATTTCATCTCAAATATCACATTGACGTTACTACTACTAAGAATTCTACGAACTTGCATCAAACAGTAAGCTCAACCCTCCTCCCAGATGGGATGGAACCGAGGTGGCGGTCTCACAGCATTACTAACGCGCATCGTGAAATCAGTGTCTGGAACCCTCGTCCCCCTCACCGTCATCAAAGGCGCAGGCCATGAATTTATCCCCCTGCCAAAAGGCGACAACGCAACCGTCGCCGACTTCCACACGTAAGCCACCCCCTCTTGTCCCATCATCACCTTTTCCCTCTCTCCCCAGCAATCCAAGCCAGTCTGCAACGATTGCGATTTCGCTCATTCGAGGAGTATCTTTGCGTATGGAACGATTTTGTATCGCGGAAATCGAGACTGGCTCGTCGCTCTGCATCATCCCTGTTCCTCTAAGCCACGCTCCATCATCTAAACTCTATTCTAACTCACGCCAGCATCCGTACACAAACCCCCTCCTCACCCGCGCACCTAACATCCGGCTTCTACAAGATCGAAGCCGGGCCTTCGAAACCTGCCTCTTATGACTTTGAGGAGACGAAATATGTTCTGAGTGGTCAGATCGATGTGCTGGATGAGGCAACGGGCATTACGCATCATCTTGTTGCGGGCGATTTTGCGTTTTTTCATGTAGGGTCCAAGGTGCAGTTTTCGACCAAGTCGAGCGGGATGGCGTTTTATGCTGTTACAAGGCCGGTTAGGGTGGCGCATCCGGGGTTGGTGGGCAGGGAGGAGAAGAGTAAGTTGTAGGGGGAGGATGGAGATGGGATTGTGGGTTTGAGGGGGGAAGCAAAAGGGAGGGGAGAAAGGTGCCAAACTGTGGTGTTATGAAAGGAAGAGGAAGGGGTTGGCTGGTGTGCAATGACGCGGCAAATGAGCGTCGCGGCACAAAGTCGCTGCAGCAGAGACGCTGCTTCAGCCCCTCGTACGGATTCGAAATCTACTTGATGCAAAAAGAAGACTTGATGAACGATGCTACGTCGAGGACAAACATCTCTGAATGTGGTGCGATAGTTGATATCTGTGCGGCGAAGTCTTTCTTTGTGCGACAATACCTAGATACAGCCGCGTACACATGCTGCTGTTTGCAGCGTCGTAATGATAGAACGCCGCCATCTTTGAAGTCAGTAGAATTGCGTCGCAAGACACGAATGGTACCATCGCGTTTCAGGTCAAAGTCCGCGATAGAGGTGATGGGTTGAGTTCTAACCACCAAGATCACCACGAAAAAGAAGAGAGCAAAGCAAAATATCACTCTTGGGATCCAGCCCAGAGTGGATCTATGTACACCACGAGTATTGTATTATGCAAGCTCTGTTTTAGGTAGCCAAGGCCATGGTATGGGATTTCCAGGTGCCCGAGTCAAGGCACACTCCACTGAAGCTTCTCGACCAGGTACACCGCCTGCACATGAAGTTCACGATGCTTGATATGGATTCGTCGGATGGAGACTGGTTTGGCTAATGGCTTTAACTGGTTCTTGCGGTAGCGTATTGGATCGGAGCTCTAGAATGTCGGAGGGAGTCGAATGGTCCGATGTTGGCGCTTTGGTGGTGGATTTAGCGATGTGGTCCACCTCCGACTTTCAGATCAATGCTGAACTGGTTTGGTGCCTGGTCGCAGCTATTGATATCGCCTTCAGCGCTAAACCTGAGGGACAACAGTAACGCTCAAGATGCGACATCAGCGACAACACAGTCGGAGCGATAAGAACTGCTAAGCATCTTCTCTCCCGGATGCTTGAGCAGTGATATCTGCGCCGCCGGTTCTGCCCGAAGCAGCCCCCAACCCGCCATGCGAGAGCCATGCGAGGACCCCGGGTTCCACCCACCTACCCAACAACACGGGCTGGAGTACCGGGGGAAGACGAGGCTGGAGCGGAACAAGTCGGACGGCGTACTTTAGTAAGGTATGCGCCCTCTGCACTCCCCTCCCGGCTCGTCCCAAACAGGCATGGGCGCCGAAGTAAAGCGTTTTCTCCGATGGTGAGGGGATATGCATGCATGGCCTTCACACCAACCCGCCCCTCTCCCCATGCTCCGATTCCGATGCACGCATGGACTTTCTGATCTTGGGGGGATTGCTATTCGCGCCGTTTCCTGACACATCACGAGGGCGTTCGACGTCATTGCGCGCGTTGTTTGTTGGCGTAGCGCGCAGGGTTTGGTATTGGTTGGGCCGTTCGAGATGCCTGGTACCTAGGTAGTTTGGGAACAGCGAGAACTGGCCGCGAACGTTGCGCCAGGCGCCACTGCCGCATGTTCCGCGATGCTTATCTTCATGTCAAACTTGGCACCCTCAAATACCAGCGATAAAGACGTCTCGTTGTGGTATGCCAAAGTTCCTCGAGACGACTACACGCGCGACCTTCCACACCTGTCCGGAGAGTATCTCGGCAGGAATATTGGATCCAACCGCAGAGCCGCATGTGGGGCGCTAGAAGCTTCTTTGCAGCCAAGCTCCACCAAGGCGGTCGGTCCTTTGCTTGTTTATCTCCACCCGTCTATACTCTTCCTGGGCAGCCCATGATAAGTCTGCAACAGCCGGCTTTGCGCTGGTGCTTACTACCCCGGCATTGCGACCCGCGCAAGGCAAATTTTTTGCCGCGTTCGTGCCATGGAGACTCCACGCGTACGTCACGTCACGTTGGTGGTGGGATGGAGAGCGCCATGGGGAGGCTTCTCCATGGGCATGGGTCGTCTCCACTGGGGTTTATAAAGGGCGGAGATGCATCCGCTTGGGAGGGGGTTGTGAGATACCAGCCTTTTGCTGCAGCCTTTCTCCCTTTCTCTTCCTCCCTTCCTCACTGTTGATCTCTTGTTGATCACTGCCCATCATGGACGAGAAGGACACCAAGATGGTCGAGGAGACCTCGTCGCCGCAGCACACTCTGCAAACCGAAAAAGCCGACAAGATCCAGGTCGCACCTACACCGGACTACTCCGCACCCAAGGCAAAGACAGAACAACTCGAGGATGCGAGAGGATGGGAATCCGAGAACCTGATCCAGGATCTTGAGAAGGAGTTGGAGCAGGCCAACTACAAGAAGGGCTTCTTCGACATCGAGTTCAAGAACCCAAAGCATTTCACATGGATGATTGTCGCGTTCGCATCCATGGGTGGTCTGCTATCTGGCCTGGATCAGTCGCTCATCTCTGGTGCTAACCTCACACTGCCCGACGACCTTCATCTTACTGCCCAGCAAAACTCGCTCGTCAATTCTGGTATGCCGCTCGGAGCCGTCGCTGGTGCCTTCCTCATCTCGCCATGCAACGAATACTTTGGTCGCCGCTGGGCCATCATCATCTCGTGTATTCTCTACACCATCGGCGGTGCGCTCGAAGCCGGATCCATGAACTACGGCATGATCGTCGCCGCCCGTGTCATCCTCGGTGCTGGTGTCGGTCTCGAAGGTGGTACCGTACCCGTCTACGTCGCTGAGACTGTCGAGAGCAGACTCCGTGGTAACCTCGTCTCCCTCTACCAGTTCAACATCGCCCTCGGAGAAGTTCTTGGCTACGCCGTCGCCGCTATGTTCATTACTGTGCCTGGTAACTGGCGTTACATCCTCGGAAGCTCCCTCGTCTTCTCCACTATCATGGGTGTCGGTATCCTCTTCATGCCCGAATCTCCCCGTTACCTTATGCACAAGGGCAAGCCTCTGGAGGCCTTTAAGGTCTGGAAGCGCATTCGCGGCACTGCTACTCATGAGGCACGCGAGGAGTTCTTCGTCATGAAGGTCAGCACTGAGATGGAAGAGGCTGAGGTCGCTGCCGGACGCACCAACCGCTTCCCATGGATGGACTTCTTCACAAAGCCGCGTGCTCGCCGCGCCATCATCTACGCCAACATCATGATCTTCCTCGGCCAGTTCACCGGTATCAATGCCATCATGTACTACATGTCCGTCCTGATGCACCAAGTCGGCTTCGACACCGTAACCGCCAACTACATGTCTCTTGTCGGAGGCGGTTCCCTCCTCCTCGGTACCATCCCCGCCATTTTCCTCATGGAGACCTGCGGTCGTCGCTTCTGGGCCATTGCCATGTTGCCTGGTTTCCTGGTCGGTCTCGTCCTTGTCGGTATCTCATACCACATGGATTCTCTGAGCGCTACTCTCGGCACCTACTTCACCGGTCTCATTCTCTACGAGCTGTTCTTCGGTTCCTACGCCGCATTGACCTGGGTCATTCCCTCCGAGGTCTACCCCACCTACCTCCGTTCCTACGGTATGACCACCTCCACCGGATGGCTCTTCCTGTCCTCCTTCATCGTCACCTACAACTTCACCGGCATGCAGAACACCTTCACCAAGACTGGTCTTGCGCTGGGTTTCTACGGCGGCATCGCCGTGCTGGGCTGGTTCTACCAGATCTTCTTCATGCCTGAGACGAAGGATCTCACGCTTGAGGAGATTGACCAGTTGTTCCAGAAGCCTACACGCCAGCTTGTTGCTGAGAATGCGAAGAGCTCGTGGCAGGTTACAAAGGACTTGTGCCACTTTAGGTTCAAGAAGGTCTTCATTGATAACAACAGGAGGCGCGGACGCGAGGAGTAGGAGATGAAGAGTCTCGATAGGAGGGCTTCAGGTTGCCACGTGCATCTGAAACTGTAGAGGTTCATTACGATGAATGCTCGTCTTATGAGCGTATGATGAACGCCGGAATATTTGGTCGGAAGATATGATAATTACAATATACCCACAATGTACATTTTGATTTAGACATCCATTTCACATTTGCATGGCTTCGTGACTTGAGATCTTTTGTTGCCTTGTCTTGGTAGACGCGTTGCCCATATCCCATTAGCAAGAACTGTGCGCACTGCTCCACGCACGGCCTCTGTCTCTAGTAGAAAATCTGCGAAAGCTAGGCCTCGTATAATCCCATCCGCAGTGCGCTGGGAGATCATCAGCTGTTGTATTCCATCCCCAGCGTAGAATAGCCTTGAAGACCAACACATCATTCATCCTCTATCATCTTCATCAAACTCATTCACGGTGTTGAAGTTGCATCCTAACTCAGACAAATCCAAGACAGTCCCACCGCCTCCACCATAGCGTAAGACAAAACCCAGACACACTCACTCTACACCGATGACCAGCGCCTCCTACAAAAAACGCTCTTCCGCATGCCTATCGACGATTCTTACGCGTGACTTCCTCGCGCTGATCACATCACGCTCGTTATCAACAACATCACTCATCTCCCGCTCATCACACTCGTACTGAGGGTGACGCAAGAAGACTGATCATTTACATCGCTATTATCTTACTCCATTTATCGCAATTCTCTTTCGTTCCGAAGACCTGCGAGTCGAACAATTCTCTCGGCCTACGATTTCATAACGATCATCATCCATCAAACGACCGATCATGCCATCAGACCACCTCTCCACCACGCTAATACCCGTGGATATCCCAACCACTGTGAACGAAAACGCCTCTTCCGGTACCAACATCCCCGGCGCGCTTCTACTCATCCTTGTCGTCAGTCTGGCAGTCGTTGGGATAAATGTCATCGGACTTATCATCGGAGTGATTGGATGTATGGGCTGGGGTACTGTGAGTGAACATGGCAGTGGAGAAGGTATGTTTTTATTTCTTTTCGTTTCAAACAACTATCTTGGGTGATGCTTGGGTATTTGGAGGTGGAGAAGCTGACATGTATCTTTTGTGTTAGGCCAGGTCACCCGGGAGGTTCAGAATACCATCGATGACTGTATCGGGGACGGAAGGCGTGATGTGGTAGCTTCGGGTGACATCAAAGTACGTGGAGATACTGCGTAATCGGGTGGATGTGAAGAAGCGGACACATATGTTGTGGAATGAAAGCATGGCGCTTCTTGGCCAGAGGAATGATATCGAGCTATCAGAAAAGAGGAAGTCGCAAAAGAGAGAAAGGTATGCAACAGAAACAACGACCCGTCGCAACAGTCGCTACACAAGCCGAGTAGAAAAACCGTCTCTAGACCTGCTTCCATGCTCTTCCCTGTCATGTGCATATGATCCAAACCAACACCATCCCACGCACTCAAATCTGCACCTTCCTAAACTTCAACGCCTTCGTCGGATCAGGCATACTCTGCGTACTCACATCAACCATCGGATACCTGACGGTCTCATCGTTCGGCATCTTAACATCATACTCGAGAATCAGCCTGACCAAAATCATCTTGATCTCATTGGCAGCGAAGAAGCGGCCAGGGCAGGCGTGGGCTCCGTAGCCGAAGTTGAGGTTGGTCTCGTTGGTGGTGACGAATTGGTTGCGTGCAATGTCCGCTGCTTTGCCGCTTTGGCGTGCCTTGTAAGCACGGAAACCGTCGAATTCGTCGGCGGAGGGGTAGTTCTTTTCGTCGAGGTAGACGGCTGCTGAGGGGACTTCGATGGTGACGCCGGGTGGGATGTATTGGCCGTTGCTGAGGGTGATGCCTTTGAGGACGCGGCGGTTGAAGGCCGCTGGAGGGGGTGGGGTTAGTTGTGATGTTCTCCAAGAGTGATGCATATCGAGAGGATTTAACTTACTGTAGCCTGTTGGGTAGAAGCGGATGACTTCCTTCATGTAGCTATCGACTTTCTCCATCTGTTGCAGAGCGCGGGAAGTAATGACTCCATCGTTGTTGGCCATGACATTGCGGATCTCCTCACGGAGAGGATCGATGTACTCTGGCGTGACGGCGAGTGTGTGCATAATGCTGGTGACGGTCATGCTTGTGGTGTGGATGGCGGCGAAGATGAGACCGAGTTGGAACCTGGTAATCTCGTCGATCGAGTTTGTACCTTTACCCCTCGTGATCATCCACTGCAGCATGTCGTCTGGCTCTTGCCAGTTCGGATCTTTCGACTTGGCGGTCATCCTCTCCTCTACAATCGGGTGCAGAAAGTCGCTCAGTTGTTGCTCGATCTTGCGGAGCTTGACGATCTCTGGGAGGCGGGGACACAGGAACGGTTTCAGCCATGGGCGGACCTTCTTGCAAGCTGTGACTCCTGCTACGAGATCCATTGTGTAGTTCGTTCCGAGCTTGATGTATTCTGGGTTGCGACATAGTTCTGGTCCGACGAAAATGCGACCGGAGACTTTTGCAATGACATCGACGAGCTCTTTGAAAATGTAAACGTCAGTCCATTCTTCGCATGGGGGCATAGACTCTCGTAGAGCGATGTCGACTTCCGTGGCGATTGTTGGGTTTAATCGAGCTGCCATAATGTCAGCTTCACCAGCTCGTGAGCAGCGTTGTTCGTTTCGACCTACGGAGTGCTGGTGTGAGGTCATGCTTGACCGAATGAAGACCGGTCGCTCCCTCAACCTGCAGTTTGGTGTATTTGACTTCCATGAGCTATAGACGGTTAGCTTTGTTTCGACATCAATTGCTCATGTCTACATACCTGCTTGACGGCGGCAGGGAAGCTGAGAACATCATCCGGGAGTTTTCGCAGCTCTGGGAGCAGACTTGAGGGTATGACGATATTGTCTTCGCCTAAAGAGGTATGAGCGATGCACTTTCTCTTTTCTTGGAATACGTAAACATACCCTGCTCTCCTACAATTCTGTACACTGAGTCTTTGAACTAGCAGCGCTGTGAGTAAGAGCATTTCAAAAGACCACGATTAGCTTACTTTGGCGTAACCATCTTCATACATCTTCTTAGCATTGGTGAGATATGCCTGTCGGTGTTTCTCTCCGGTCTCTCCGCCGAGAACCGGCAGGCTTCCCAGCTGGGCCTTTCGTTTAAGTTTGGGGACGTATGCGCAGACTGCGAAAAAGAGGGTTGCGATAGCCACAGTCTGCAGCGTGTGCGTCAACTGCGCCATAGTTTGGCTGTCCATCATCGTAGCTTCTTGTGTAGGAGGCACCACGGAGGTGTTGATGTTTTCGAATTTGGCGGCCATCTTCGAGGTAAGCAGTGGGGATGCCCTTAGGTTCGATATGTCACCTGCGGGTGCTGCGTGTTGGTGTCGGAAAGGTGGATGGTGAGTGGCGGATGGAGTCGCTACGTGGTCGTCCTTCTACATATACCGAGAATGTTTCCCCTGGTCTAGAAAAGCCAGGATCATTGGTGCGCTTCGCTCTATACGGTTGATACGGTGTATACACAGAGCGGATCCTTGGTTCCGGCGGTCGCGCTGTTAGCGATGGAGCCGTCTAGTAACCGCTAGGGTCTGACGGGCAAAGCGCTCGACGATCCCCAGGCCAAGCCTGACCGTTTGTGTCTCGGGGTCACACATTGAGTTCAGCCCTCAGCACTCCATTCGATTTCGACGTCAGATCACTGGGCCAAGGGAACAAACCGGACATTCTTAGCGAGTACCTCATATGTTCTTTGTCGAGGTTGCTGAATATGCCTCAGCGTCACCAATCTTTATCTTTGACGGTGAGAGACGATCCAATCGATGGCCTTGCAGTACGGGGAGTACGCCCGAAGTGCTTAACCAAGCAGCCTAGACTGACGCGTATGTGCGGCTCGGAAGGATCATTACCCTGCGCGGGCGTTGGTGAGCACGGTCGGTGAGGGGCATCAGCAGAACCCTGGCAACGGACCGCACGGCCATTCCGACGATTAAAGAGCACTCGTCCTTCGTGTCGGTGCACGCAGTGCACGATGGATATGTTTGTGTAACCAGGTCGTTAAAGAGAGGCAGGTGCAAGAAGGAGCTGCTGGACCCTTGCTGCGGCTGACGCCTCTTCCGTCTTCCGTTCATCTAACCGAGCCAGATCTCTACGCGAGGCTGCTGCACCAGCACGGGAATGTACCCGAATTTGAATCCTTCGCTGGCCATTCTCCATCATTATGATCCTTGCTGATTCATCCAATATGAAGTCGATGGATACGACATACGACTGCCTGTGCAGCTTACCCAACTTTGCGACAGCCAGAACCTGCAGCAAGGACTCCACAAGCAAGGAGGGATGGCTGCTCACACCGGATCACGATGTTCCGACATGTCGCTGCACCACCTTCCTCCGTCCTGGTCCTCCAACAAACGCATCGTAAGCACTTTATCATGGAGGACCCATGGACAAACCACATAACCGATGCGAAAGACGCCTCGTCGCTTACCCTAGTACATGGACATGTCCACGCGTCCAACCAGGCAACGAAGAAGTAAGCGCCGTTAAAACAGACCGATATGTCGCGCAGCAAGCCCAAACCCCAAGCACATGGCCAGCCACACTCACCACGTAGTACATACCACAAGGAAATGCTCACTGGCATATCTTCAACAGCACTGTGGCACTTGGCGATTGCAGGACAGTTCTCGTCTCGACAAACTTTAGCCCACCGTATCGCGCGTATTCCGGCGTCCAATCAGAGCGTAGAGGAGCTCTACTCTCTGTCCAACGCAAATGTGTATCTAAACTTTCGCGTTCGCGTTCGTCGCTGAGGTTGGCCCTTGACCTGGGCGGACCGATTTCCCCGCCTCTTCGCCGTCATCAATCCGGGCTGTAGATCGCCCGGTGCTAGCACACCGGTGTGCTCACGTGATTTTACATCTGCGCAAACATAACCCGCCCTTGGTAAGCTGTCTATTAATGTGTTAGTACAGCAAGCATCTTCGAAGGCGTATCATCAGGTGCAGTAATGATTAGTGGCGCTCTTGGCATCATCAACGATACAGTGCGACTTAACCTCAAACTAGGGTCTGGTCTTGGCCGGGGCTGGTTATTGAGATTGCACTTTGGTATACGGTATGCTTGCGATAGCTTCGAGGTTGACTTGGCATCACTGAAATCACTTGCGCAGCCCTAAAGTTCACGTGCCAGAAGTCTCACGACTTATTTGTACCTGATGGTAAGACGGCGTATGAAGCTGTGGATTTCCCGTACCTTCCAGGTTCAAAATTATCATATTTTGGAAGTGTGATTGGCACTCCTAGAATTTCTATTCTACGTGAACAGAAGACGTCCTAGTATTATCATCACACCATCACAGCGACCTAATGAGACCAAGAGATAGCAAAAGATGGTTCTTAAGTGAAGAACAAGAGGGACAGTAAAGTGTAGAGACAGACGTAGATCTATTCACGATGACTATAGTCGAAGTCGTGGACCTCCTCTCTGTACAACCGAAGTCTGAGAAAAGAGCACCTGGGCATAGAATAAAGCTTTCGAATAGATATGGAAATAACAAGAAAGATATTCGATACGAAAGCCATGAATCAGAGGAGCAGAACGAAACGTGCCAAGCTGGCGCTGATCTTAATCAAATCCACACATACTCTATCGATCCGAAGAGAGTGGAGATACAGTTCAGTACATTGGAAGGTGCGAGGACGAAGCACGAACGATGCCGACGGAAAGCGCCTCCCCTGCGAGATGCGAGCTACTAACCTTTTCCAACATATACGGGGTTCAGAGGTCTGTTAGTAAGACAAAAGACCAACAGCTACACAGGCTAAGCGGGTATTGTGGCGCGAAATAGATATCGTGATGCAATCTTTCTACATTCAGAACGTGATGCAAACAAGAAAGACATGTATGGCAACAGCTACGACATGCAGCCGCTCCGGCTCTTGCCTTGTACTCTTCACTCGTATGATATCTCATCGCCACTCGATATCATACCCAGAACAATGAAGTCTACCCCCTTTCCTTCGAAATCACCCCTTTGTCCCTCTACAGCGTCTCAGCACAAACCATCGGCCCCTCCACCTCCTTCCTCTTGTCCTTCCCACACATCATCTCCACAATCGTAAGCGCAAAAAGCATCGCAGTCCCCGGTCCGCGACTCGTAATAACCTTGCCATCCACCACGACCCTCTCCTCGCTGTACTGCCAACCAGCCTTCTCAACTTCTTCCTTCACACTGGGATGACTCGTAACACGCATCTTGCCCCCATCCGGAGTCAATGCCTCAGGCCAATTCTCTGCAGCAACGAGCGCAGTGGTAGCCGCGCAGATGGCAGCAACCCATTTCCCGTGACGACGGAAGTCCCAAATGAGTTTAAGGGCGTCATAGCTGTTGCAGAATGTCTTTGCGCCGGGTGCGCCGCCAGGGAGGATTAGGATATCGTAGTGTTCATACGCCTTATGTGCCGTCTCATTTAGCAGATCGGTGACTCTTCGGTAGTCTGGTACGATACGGATATTGCGGGACATGCTAAGGTCCGAAATGAGTTGCTTTGCTACGCGCGGATTTGCGGGGGACAGGACAGAGCAAGACAACAATAGGAATGGGTGACGATGGGGAATAAGATGGGTTGTACTTACTGTGCATAGCCTTCATTCTTGACCTCTACACCAGCGGATTTCACCTCGAAGCCCGCGCGGGTTAGAACTACGATGGCATGTTAGCGTCGGCATCTCCTTCAGCAGATTGAGTAGAACTCTTCTTCACGGCCGTGAAAGTAGCCCACTAATCGTCCTAAAGTATGCATGTATTGCTTCCAAGCCATCCGTAACATCCTCTTGCGTAATTTCTTTCTACGATTCTCACGTTGGAAACGACTCTTTCGGACTCGCGCATGGGTGTAGTTCATGCTCAGCTACTAAGCACTGTTGCAACAATTAGGAAGTGGGCGCGGTTGTTGAAAAGTTTGAGCTTGTAGCTCGAACGATTCGGCGGTATTCCAGTTGAACGGCACATGCCTTTCAATAGCTGGGGAGTATGATGAGATGAGATCTTATTGAACGTACCGTCGTAAGGCGTCACGAATTCGATCTCCTCTGATCCATCCGCGACCAAAATTAGGGCTTTCGGCATCGTAGATTATACACCGCACTTCCTTGATGATTACCGTGGTAGTACTACAAGGTACGTGTGGAGGAATTGTTTGAAGCAATGGCTGAGAGAGGGTCGATGTTGAGCATGCTCCACACTTTAGACAAAGGTGACGTATGCTGAGCAGACAGGAGGGGGAGGGGCTCGGAAACCCATTCCGAACGTTTCCTACATTCATGTCCTGCAATGGCACACAAAACAAAGCATCTCAAGATCCATGATATATGTGAAGGAAGTTAGTTTGTATCACAAATTCACGACATCACGACCAACACCCACACACATAAGCAGGTCGTCAAAGATATAGCATTCGCAGCCTCTCCTCCACGGTACGTTACGCCCAAAGCAAATCGGTCGTCAAGGATATCACAAAAAAGGATCCGCACAGTACATCGTGTAAGGTTCTCCCCTCTCCTATATACACGCCTTCGCCCTTCTTGTGTGCTTTGCTCGTATATGGAAACTAGATTTCCATCCCACGTGTAAGAAAAAACTCAAGTCGAACTCAGCAGCATCTTTGAAGACACCAAAATGTGCAGAAGATGCGTTCATATCACCACCTTCTTCTATACATTCGCGTGGAACCCCGGGGATATCTCTCTTCCTCTCTTCCTCTCTCATAAGCTCATGCAATGTGACACGAACCACCTCATCCTCATAAGACAGGACGTCCTACAAGAATGAGCAGTCCTCCGTCTTCGTCAAGATATTAGAGCGGTTGTTGCAACGTGATGGAGCGCCTGCCTCCTCCATCTTTGCCCGTCGGGAAAAGCAAAAAGCAAACAGGGTATGTCACAAAAAACGGAGAAGAAAAGCAGCCAGACCGCGTCTATCGTTGCAAGGGTGTAAATCGCATCGCGGAAAGTTTGGAGGTATCAAAGGCGAGGTAAAGACGTGTGGGTGAACAAGCAAATAGGCCCCTAGCATGACCATGCTCGCGGAACTCCGAAACACCGGGTACATCGTGTGAAAGCAAACGCAGACATAGGTTCGTAATATGCCCCAAAGGGCCTCCCAGATCGGTGTGTGGAACTTGTGGTGGATAATGAGGGATGCGCAAAGAATTTGCGGAGATCACAAGCTCATAGTCAACCATTCCTGTAGGTCGTTAGTTAGCATTTGTCGTTTGATACTCGAGAAGATCTTACTTACCCATTCAGCAGGACCAGATGATTGCAGGCCTTGGCCCATGGCACCCATTGGAAGAGCGCCTAGATTCTGGCCTGGGAAAGGACTGGGACTAGCGATGGCAGTGTCTTTTCTGCGCAATGGCGCTCTTCCACTCGTATCGTCCGCATCTCCCATTTCGAGCTCCTGTGATTCCACTTTGCTCGAGCCGCGAACGCGCTTCGGCGCAGGAGCGACAGTGCGAGCCTGTGCCAAGTTTACGGAGCTGTTGGACTTGGGCGGACCGGGCGCGATTGGAACCACACCGCTCGGTTTTGAAGATGTCGGTGTGGTAGCTGAGGACATGGTACCCGAGGCGCCTCCACCAGAGCCAGTAGATTTTGGAGACTCAGACTCGGCCGCTTTATGGGACGTGGGAGTCGTCACCGGAGTGTGCGCGATTGAGTTCTTTCGCGACGACTTCTTTGACGATCGCGTAGATGTCGTGCCTACAGGTGCGTTGCCGCTTCCGCGGTTGCGCTTCTTGATTACATCGGTCTTGAGCGACAAGGGCCGAACAACTCCGTGCAGCTTTAAGAACAAACCACATGCATTGCAAAGTGGATGTCCTTCTGGGTTGCGTCGCCACAAAGGCGTCGTCTGGGTAAAGCAGTTAGTGCAGGTTGTGGGGGCACCGCCGTCACCCTGCTTCGATCCACCAGGACTTTGAGGCCGTGACGGAGCTGCAGAATTAAAGCCAGACTCTGGCGGTGAATTGGGTGACGAGACTAGACCATGCATGCCCTGGTGCAGCATTCCAGCAGCGTTAGGTGTTGAGCTAGTGCGGGGTATTTTCTGGCGTCGTGGATCGCTCCCTCGATTGCGTATGTCGCTTACAGAGGCAGCCGAGCCATGCGTTCGCCCAAGACTGCCCCCAGGACTCCAGTGATCTTGCGGTGAGTGCACCATTTCGGTGCCGCCAATTGTGACTGTCTTGCGTGGGGGTCCTGCCGGATACCGCGCTTGCATCGGGTTGAATTGGTTTGAGAGATTTGTCTCCCACTGGTAGCCAGCATTGAAGTCAAGTGACCCGTCCTCCATTTGCGAGTAGTCCTGTGGCATGGTACGGTCTGCAAACGCGCTTCCTTCATCGTCCTCGGCGTCAGAATCTGCGCCGAAGGTGAACATGTTCTCCTGACGTCCCATCTGCATCTCGTGCTGTTGTCGTAGCGGCAGATGGTTGTGGAGCACCTGAGACGGGTCTACGTGACTCGACTGGCCGAACGACGACGCTGAGGAGAATGGTAGCGACCCACTCGTGCTTGTGACTGGACTGAAGACAGAGTCGGGACCGCCGGCTCCGGGATTGAAGATGAACTGCGGCTGCATGGAGGTCGACAGGTTAGAGGGTCGGTGGGGTCCATACGAGGCGTTGCCGTGCGAGTTGCGGATGTCCATGCCACTCCGGTCAAAGTACATCTGGTTGTCCTCGGGGATGGGCTGTGGGGTGGAGACAGTGGAGGGGAAGGCGGAGCTGGGTGGGGAGTAGTAGTCGGTGGAGTTGAGGGAGGAGGCCATGGACTGCTGGTTGAACATGTTGGAGTTGAAGGCGTTGTGGCTCATGAGGGGCGAGCCGACAGGAGAGAAGCCCGAGAAGTTCTGCTGGTAGGGGCCGGCGGAATGTATGACGGGGTCGTCGTGCATGGAGAAGGTGTCTATGCTGAAGGGGGCCTGGGCCTGTGAGGCTGGGAAGGTGGGGGGCTGCATGGAGTGGTCGAGCGAGTACTGGTGCAGGTCGTGCTCGGCCTGGGCGTCGGTGGGTATCATGATACTGTTGACGGGAGGGACCAGAGGAGAGGCTTCGGCGCGCCGCTTGGGAGGCTGATAAGAGGTTAGTGAGGAAACGGTAGGGCGAGAGATAAGGAACTCACTCGTCGCTCGTCGATGCTGGTCTTGCGGACGTGTCGCGGAACGTAGCCAAATTCATCCTCTCTGTGGATAGTAGGAGGCACCGAGGGCGCGGAGGCGCGGGCGAGGGAGAGGTTGTGGTCGTTGGCTAGATGCGGCTTTCTTATCGGTATCGCTGGGGCAGTTGCATTAAATGGAGCCGCATCCTCATTCGACAATTCGGGCGACAGGCCTGCAGGACTGCCGACGGACGACGGAAATATAAAATCGTCCAGGTTCATCTGGTCGTGGGGCGAGTTCTGCTGTACCTGCGTTTGCTGGTCCTGCGACTTGCGCAGCTGCTGGGCGATGCCGCTGGGAGCGGATCTTGGCGGCGGTCTTGCGCCTGCTGTTGAGGGCGGCGGCGGCATCATTTCAGCGTGGTGCGCATCGGGAGCGGGCCTGCGCGCTCAGAATCACAGTTAGCCAGCTGGTCGTGGGAGTCAAGTGGTAGCGACGCAAAAGCAAGTGCGGCATATGCGTACCCTTTATTGCGATCCATCTCGGCGCGGCGCATGTTCATGGCCATCATCCGCCAGGTCAGGTTCTCCATGCGCTCAGCATTGGGGAGCTGCGTCTTTGCCCGCGAGTAGAGCTTCCAGATTTGCGTGCCCAGCGGGTCGTTCTTCTGCAGCTGCTCTGGCGATTCCACGCTGGGGGCGCCCGCATCGTTGCCGAAAGCTGGGAAGATGGCATCCTGGAGCATGCCCCTCTTGGAGTTCGTGTCATGGGCCGACTGTACCTCCATTTGGCCCTCTGGTCTGTCAAAGTCCATGGGTTTTCAGACGGCGTGGTGCCCTCTTTGGTGGGCGGCGGATATTGCAAGTGTGCCTCTCACGGGAAAGCGATGATGTAGCTGCGTCGGCGCGTGCTCTGAATCGGATGGGCGCACCCCACGTTAGCTGCGGACCTCAGCTGCAACCAAGCCGAAGTAGGCCCTGCACTGTCTGGAGGCACTGGGCAGACTGCGAGAAATAATACTAGGTTGGAGAGGCCCAGCGTAAAAGAGGGATTGTCTGTTGCTTGATGCGTGCTGAGTGCTGGCCTCGCACAGCGACAACGGCCTGTCACGAGTAGATATTGGACTGTGGCTGCTGTCCTCCACGGGGAACAAGGCTCGAAATGTTCGCGCTCCCGGGACCAGTGAGCGGCGCAATAATTGAATTGCAGCGATGCGGGCTCCAGCGTACGACGGGCAGCCGGTGGCACTGGGTGGGTCGTGAGTCGTGACGCTGGGCCTTGGTGAGCAGAATGAGATGCCTGTGTGGAGCGTTCGGCACCCACGCTCAGACTACGCTGCCCCCACCATTCACTCTCTTCACTCTCGGACGCCAATCACACGTGCAGCCTGCACCCTAGCTGCTAGGGTCCTGTTTGGGGCGTTCCCTACCCTCGCAGCGCGGCACGCCCTCTCCACACTGTCGTCAAGTGCGCGACTCAGAAAAGCAAAGCTGCGAGCACACGACACCCAGGCCTGACGCGTTTGCGGCGTGAAGCCTCCGGGCCCGCAGCCACTGCAACCTCAGATGTGCGATGACCCACGGCGGTTGAGCTCATGGCCCGCGAGGTGTGTGTGGGCTGAACGGGAGAATGCTTGCCTGCCGCTTAGCATGCACGCCCTTGCTCCTATCGAGACCGCCTGAACCGTGCTGCGAGGATACTTGGGAACCCCGGACAGAGTCTCGGAGCTCAGAATTACGAGCGGCCAATTTGTCGGCGAGCTGTGCTGTCCAACACCAGAGCCCTACCAGAACAACCTTAGGCCCTCGGTGTCTCGTTTCGAGAACAATTAGAGAAACCACGATGCACGATGCCATCTGCACTGCGCTGATCCCGGGACGTCACTTCCTTCAGGCCTCGCCAATGTTCCCTCTTGACATGTTCTACTGCACGACTACGGCCCACCAACACCAGCCGGCAAAAGCTTACGCGAAGAGACAGCCCGCCTCGATTGGCTCCTGTGCATTGCCTACCCGCTCCTGTTGACGTCTAAAGCGTCTAGTACCCAGGCGATGCTGTAGTCTCGATGGAGGCTGCACTGCTGAACCCAGGGCAAGTATGCCTTGCCACGCTGCCTCACCGTCAACGCGAGCTTGTCAGCCGACTGCATACAGCAGCAGTATTGTGTCTTGTGACCCGCGCCGAACAAGAGGGCTTTCACCGCGTGTATAGATCCATAGCACTCCCATCGTTTACCCGACGGTGGAGCATGTCATCCGAATGGTGCCGAACGCGACTGCATCTCGGCACTTCCTTTCCTAGATTTCCCGATAGCCTCACAAATCTCAGGGTCTTTGTTTACCAGACCCACAGTGTATCGACGGGCGTGTGCGACAACAGATCCACCGCACATAGCGCTGAGCACGTGGTCGCCAGTGAACTGCGCTTCTAGTCGCTCATCCGACAACGCCTGCCGGTACCAAAACACACACGCCATTGCAGCTTTGTGGCGCACTCAACAACAGTAACACTGCAGCTGACGCCATTGGGCCGCGGCTGCTGCTCCCTCACAGGGCATTGGCACAACCAAACTCTGCTTCTTCACAATTATATACTTTCAATCTCTTGCCTGGGGGCCTGACTGACATGCGGTTCCGCAGTCGTGATCCGGACGGGTGGTAGATACATTACCAGGACAATGCGAGATCCAACGGTGACGCGGACGGTGGAGACAACTGAACTGTAAAGTCGAGAACATGCAGCTTCTCCTGTAGTCGCTGTCGCAGTGGCGGACGTACCTCTCCTTCTAGAACTATGCACCTATTGCAGTTCAAGATCTCGAATTCATGTTAGGGCCGCATCGGGCAGGGAAGACTCGACGGCTCCTTCAATACACTATCCGACTGACAACGGACCACGTTACATTCCCAACGATCGCGAGACACGCTGAGCGGTACCTGTGGATCGGACGCCGTTGCTTTCGCTCTCTCGCACTCGGTCCCCTCCTTTCCCAACCGGACGACAATTTTAGCCGCGAGCTGTCCCTAATATCAGCCTACAGGGAGTTGGCTATTGGTGGACTCGTTTCATGCAGCATATTGCTTTTCCAGGTCGAACTGCGTACCCACCGGGTTACCCACCAAAGTAAAGGGTCCAGGGCGATGTTGATCTTTCCACTCGACTCCCTCCGACATCTGCAATGGCATTACTTCGGCCGTCGATTTCATCTAGCACCAGCCGCGAACACCCAATGTTTGATGTTGCGCGTCCGCTAACCTGGATACAATCGCCGGACCCCTGTTGTCCGACCGCCGTGGTGGAGTTTCACATGTCAAAGGGTCGGAAACGAGAAAAAGGTACGAATACACATGCGACGCGCGAAAGCGTAAACAACTAATCCTGCATCTCACTCCTACGTGAATCCTACAGGAACAACCCGCCCGCTAGCAGTTACTCATCAATGACAAAACCATGCATAGGCAGGGTATGCCAGATATTGATCGCACGCAGCGACCCCACGCTCATTGCCCCAGAGAGTAAGCGGCCTCGCTGCTGTGTCCCCTGTCTCATGCAAGCCTCCCAATCCACTTGCATCTGACTTGCATGCATGCAATCAGCCAGGATGTGGAGCCTAGATGCTTTGCTAAACCCGACAGAATCCGCTCTAACCTCGCTTGTCGCCGCATTGCCGACTTGGGCACGCTACAGACGCAGATGTCGTTCAACACACTTGCAATTTTACCATGCTATTCTGCTTTCTGCGGTCTTGCACTGGCTGTAATCCAGATTTTTCTTCTGGCCCGACCAAGCGAAGCGACCATCCGATCCCGCTCTATTTCATTTCCTTTGTGCTTCTCCAGGGCTACCGCGGAAATATCCGTTGCGAGCACGCAATGTCCGGTCGTGTACATATGGCGTGCTGGCAACTTGTATACCAAAATCCACAACTGACGCGGAACTACCCAACCGCCCGACCCGCTGAAGAAATGGTATTACACAGCCCCCTCCCCTCGTCTTAACAAGACGGATGCACGTCTTTGTTGGTCGAGTTGAAACATTGGCTGTCTGCTGAGTGTGCAAGGTCGCATGCGCTCCTGATACGAAAACGCGGGATGCCCGTGGGGGTCCGTGTACGTGATTCATTTAGACGTTGTATATTGGCAAAATGATTCGGGGGAAATTTCCCTCTGGACGATGACGACGGGCCCCTCGCCTGTCTGTCCGTCTTCTCCTCATCGACCATACGTCGGTCGGTCGCTTGGACGGACGGACGATCTCCACAGTTGGGCTCGCAACGGTTGGCCATCGTACTGAGGGGCCGATCGTGGGTTAAGACGAGGGCGGACGGGAAAGGGTCCTGCTCGTGTGCTTGCTGCCGCAGCGCTGACGTGGAGGCTCGCGTGCTCGTGTTCCGTTTCTAGTCCTTGTTCCGGTTGATCAGGCCAGGCCAGCCTTGGTCGGGCGCTGCGACTCGATGTCACTCGAGGCTGTTGTAGCGATCAACGCTTTGCCGATGTTGCGAAGAGACAATGACGTCTGACGGCGCTACTCGCCGTCTTGGGCGCCGCTCGGCGGGCATGGATAGCGGAGGTATTGCGTTGCGTGGCTCGGCGGGCGGCGTGAAATGTGCGAATAGCTTCATGCTGTCGTGAAATCGTGAGGCTGTCTCGCAACGAGGTCAAGCCGATCGAGGTATCCCGGGGTATCACCATGAACTCTCCTCACCGTCTTTCCATCTTCATCGTCATCCACTGTCGTCCATCATCTTCCCATCCCAGGTAGGTAAAGTCGCATCAATCCAAAGTATATTGTCTTGGCATTCCGGAAGAAGCAGTCGAACGGCGGAGCGGAATCGAGTCCAGCAGCAAGAGTAAGCACCATCGAATCCAACACACAAAGACGACACCCGTGTGCTTATAACCCAAGCACACGTACGCTCAGACCCAGTGAAAAACCTTACGCACGCATAGATAGGCCGGTGAGACCATCGCTCGTTATCATTGCGCGATTGATAACGCCACGCTTAGTGGTCCATGATTGACCTGCCAACCCCCCCCCCTCCGAGGCTCACAGGGGCCATTGAGCCTCACAGACTCTGAAACCATGTCCACGATAGGAAGGCCAGCCACAGTTCCCCGGACTTCATTGGCTTGTGGGTTGCCGTTTGATGGCGCAGCGAGGAGATAGTAAAGATAGTGATAGTACCTATCTCTCGGTAAGGACCCTTATCTGATGCAAGGTACGCGGACGTGCATGTATGTCTGTTGCGGGTATGCGGTCGAGCGTTGGTATCATTGGATGACTGGGAACGGAACGCGGCGAACGGGAGATGTGGTGCTGCGTGGCTGGAAGTTCGGTAGCTTGGAGGTTATCGTCTGGAGATGTTGGGGAACTGGGGGAGGGAGAACATCTGTGCGCGGTTTTGATAGTAGGACAATGACTAGGGGGTTGGCTCGCCGTCGGCGAATGTCTTGTTCCATTCTGCGAAGTGATTGGAACGACGGATGGGCATAACATGTTGGAATGACGAATGTAGAGGGTAGGGTGAGATGGGTGTGGGTATGGATATCGACAGAGCGCGTAACTGAGTACATTGCTGGATATCTACAACGGGTGCACAACCGTGCATCATGACACGACGAGTCGCGTGGACATGAGCAACATTTGTTTCTCTTGCAGTGAACCCTATCTTCCAGCGAGTATAGGTACTTCAGCTGTGATACGCTCCCGAGATCTGACCCAGTCCATCTCTTGTTGGCTGGCAAGAATGCCGCGTGTCTCCAAAGGAGAGATGGGGGTACCTGGCCTCCCTATCTCCTGCACAATATCCGTCTCGTCTATCGTCGTAGATACAACTCCGCGGCGCGTTATCGTCGATGCGTATCGTGGTACTTCTGGTGGGATGTTGCATAATCTCTCTCCTCTCAGCCCGCAGCCTCACTTATCGCCCTCCTTGCCTTCCTTATCACCCCCTCCCCCCTTGACCGTCTCTTCACCCAGAACTTTACTCGCTGCCATAAACCTACAACATATCTCATTAGTACGCCGTCCTGTTACAGAATCCCAGGCCCGACCCAACACCTTCCAGCCACCCTGCTGTTCCGCGGGATAACTCACATAGCACCAGCGTACCCACCCAGACCACGCATGTCCTGCGCCTGACCGGCTGTCATACGCATCAAGCTTTCCAGATCCGACATATTCGCCGTCAACTGCGCGAGTTGCGCTTGTAGGTGCGAGAGTTGGCGCGGCTTCTGCGAGGGGACGGTGCTGAGGCGTGAACCGCCGGCGGGAGTGTGGGAGCGGGGGGCGTTTGACATTGCGATTGTCTGATCGTGTTCTTTTACGAGAGCGGCGGCTCGACGTCAGGTAGGGTCGAGAGGTTTAGAAGGAGTGTGTTTGTTTGTGTTGTGTTGGAATGCGTGTGGGGGAGGACGTGTCGCACGGCATCGGCTTTGTTGGTGGGACTCCCGCGGCGAAAAGGCCTTGGCGGTTGATTGAATATCCACCGAAGGTCGTCGCACTTTTTCCTCCCAGAGCAACCTTTTTGTTCATCGCAACATGACTGTGTACCGCCATTGACACATCGTCGTACCGAAATACACTGCTTCTGGATTTACACGAGCCATGGCGACTCTTCAGACGGTTCGTCGGTGGATTATGACAGCCGCCGTCGCTTCAATTACGATTACGGGTACTATCTATGGTGCGGGATTGAAGGGGCAGCAGGAAGTTAAACAGGTATGTTCCGTCATCCTTCAGATATTGCAGCCCTCCTTCCGAAAGACCTCCACCTCAATGCACACGCTGAGCGTTTCTTCGCTTCAATCATTTCATCCATCATCACCCACTAACCCCACTCCTCATAGAAAACAAGATATATGATCGAAGCCACGCCCGAAGAACGCATCGCACAGCTCGAGACCACGCGCGCCGAGTTAATGCTCAAGAAGAACGAGATGGAGAGGAAGATGGCTATCTTTGCTGAGCGCAGGAAGGAGAAAGAGGCGCGCGAGAATGGGAAATGAGAGGTTGGAAAAGATGGCGTCGGACAACTATGATGAGGGGATGGGATACTTGAACATGGGAGAAAGAGTGGGTAGGCTGGCATACGCGAGAGGCGAGCGTTGGGAGATAAGAGACGGGAGTACGAAGGCGCGCTGATGAGGGTATCGGCTCTTTTGGCACGCACGAACTACTCGCGACGAAGGAGGTCTGTGGGCGACAAACTCTGCCCACTGCCGGCATACATCCTTCGAAAAACGTACCACTATTCCTTCCACCTTCTCACGCACCGCCGATCCAAACGTTCACACATCCTCGAAACGAAGAGCCGACACCCTCGACACCCATCTCGATCACCACGCCCACCCCACATACGAGCACCAGCAATTTGAAAATCCACCAAGCAGCGAGCATCGACTACAACCCATGTTCGCTATTACCCACACGCTTTGTCATCCCCTCCGCGGAACACATCGCCACGTCGATCTCTGTCGATCCTGCCACACCCTCTGCCGTCGCTTTCGGGGTTCCCACCTCGCCTCGCCTCGGTTCGCCCTGCCCGCCGCTCTCGATTCGAATGGCCCTGCAGATTTTGTATTCGCTAGAGTATATTGCTGAGGGTCCAGTGGGTGGTCGCGTGGGGCTGAGTGGATCGTCTGTCATGGAGATTGGAGATGATGTGCAATGTGACTGGCACAGGGACGATCTTTACGCGGCCTTGCAGACGAGCTGTGTGGTGACGGCATGGGTTATGTTGTGCGGAGATGGGCTGCTACGGGCGGAGGTGGCAGTTATTCAGAACAACAACCCTGCGGACAGATGAACATAGAAACAGCGTCCACCTCCGCCTGTAGTAACCCATGACTCGTTGTCTCCAGTGTGTCGCGCTCCTCCCCAAGCAATCACGTCGATATACCGAAGGATATTATGCTCAGAGTCAGCTTTCTACAAGCAGGTTTTGGTTTTGGAGATGGCTTGAGTCGATTCGAAGGTTGAGTATCTCAAGAAGCTGTGAGATGGAATTTCACTACTTGGTCTTGTGAAGGATGGGGTAGAAATGGCTGTTTCGAGGAGATCTTGAGATCATAGGGAAGGTACACTTCCCTTTTACAGGTGGACTTTAAGGGATCCAGCAGATCCCTTGTAGTCCACCCGTAAAAGAAAGGTACTAGTGCCTGCGTACGTTACTGTTGTTTCTGTACTTCTTACATGCCACTCCTGCTGTTCAAGATCATTGCTTCTCTATTCCCTCTCTCCGCAGTCATGCCTTGTCAACTGTCTGCGACAACAACTTCCTTCCAAAGACACAAAATGTCATAATTCGGCGCTCGAGCATACGTAGTTTCTTACCACAAGAATCTGCCATCCGCTCCAACACGTGGATTCTTTCTTTGATCAGCCACTCACACATGCCAATTCGTTCAACAACAATCAACAACGCTTCTTCGATTTCAATTTCTGTCAACTGTATGTACTCTTCTGGTGCCTGTCACCCTTATGTACGACCCTCTTCATGGCCTCCATTCCGTATTCAACAGCATCCTCCCATCAAAGCGTGAAGAACTCAAGATACCCCTCTATCTCGCCACCAATATGTATCACATGCTTCCCAACATTCTCATTCTTCATCGCCACCGCCCCAGGAAGATCCCTCAAGCCCATTTCCCTCCCACTAATCTTCAGTACCATCATCTCCCCAGCCTCAAACACCATACCCGCCGGCCAAAGCTGAACACGCAATCTAACCACCTCCCCCTTCTCCACTTTGTCCTCGCGCTCCAGCGACAGCGTTTCCCACGTCTTGCCCCGCAGCGCGTCTGCGACATGGCGTTTAGACGCGCGCAACATGCCGCTGGGACCGAGGTACCGCCAGACCCTATTTTGCGTCATTTTTTCTGCGACTTCAGAGGGTGTGTTGGCCGGAATGGGAATGTTCAGGTGAGAAAGCATGGTGCCCGATGCAGAGGCTTTGAAGATGTGGGCGTGGATGTCTAGGTCGTTGTGATCCTGTGCTGCGATGGAGAGGACGACGGTGGAAGGGCCGGTGAGGATGGTTTTGCTCGGGAAGGTGTATGTGAAAGTCAGTTCGGAGGGGGAGTCGGCTTGGTACTCGATTGTGGTTGTTGAGAGGGGCGCGGTTGGGGTGAGGGTGCCGGTGGGATGGAGATGCAGTTTCTGGACTGTGGCTGTGGGGAGGTGCCATGGTAGGTCTGGGTATTCTTGGTCCAACAAAGCTGGTTTGGTGAAGTTCAAAAAGGCCATGCGAACGGGTGCGGTCTGTGGCCAATCGTTGCGGAGGTCTTTGAGGTGAAAGTCGAAGAATCGGGCGAGGTCTGCGGTGCGGCTTGGACTGTAGAGGTCGTACCATTCTTGAGTTGCGTGGAGGACGAGCCTGAATGCGGAGTTGTCAATAACTGCAAAACGTGTGGACGAGAGCAAGATGGGGGTATACGCACCATTTATCTGGATGCTGCATCTCCTCGAAAGCTCGTAGGGCGCCGATGGTATGGAGCGTCGATGAATAGCTGGCTCCGATATAAGCAGGCACCTTGATCCTTGCCATATCCACACGCTTATCGTCAAGATATCCCTTGGGCACAGGATTCATATGAGCCATTGCAGCGTAATCCTCCACCATGTTCTTCCCCGCCAACATAGTAGCAACCCATTCGTTGAACCCCGTGTTCGGAATACCTCCACGTAGCGACTGCTCGCGCAGAGGATCCGATAAGCCCTCCAAAGGCGCAATACATACCAAATGCGGTGGCTGCTCAGCCGCGATAAACCACTGGGATATTGCGAGCCAGGAGTTGCCTGATAGGGCTAGTTTGCCAGAGCACCAGGGGAGCTTCGCGAGCTCTTCGATGGCGTCGTGGCCATCGCGGCCTTCGGTGCTGCCCCAGAAGTGGATGTTGCCAGAGGAGTTGTTCACGCCTCTTGGGTCTACCATGACGATGGCGTAGCCACGGGGTACCCATTCTGCAGGGTCGAGACTGGAGTTGTGGTTAGTGAGGGATTTCGCCTTCTGCTTTCATGCTATCTTGGTTCTAGGCTTACCCTTCGAAGCCTTCGTAGCCTGATAGTTGAGTCTCTGGTATACCAGCTCGAAGTGGCATGCCATGAATGTTTAGCATTCCCGTTCCAGTCTTGCCATATGGGCCCCACATGACGATTGCAGGAACCTTCTCGTCGGTCTTGGGACGGAATACGTCGGCATAGATCACCGTTCCATCTCTAAGCGTAACGGCTTGGTCTTGGTCGAAGATAGTTGTTGTTGCAAACGGGCGGAATGTTGGTTGCTTTCTGTGACCCGGTGGAAGTTCGGTCGTCCTTTGGTTCAGCGGAGGGATGTTTTGCTTGACAGCGTCGAGAAATTTGACGTCGACTGAGCCGATTTTGATTGAAGTCATAGTAACGAAGAGACGAAGTCAAGAGATTAAGAGGCGATAGAAGTTTTTGAGAAGGAATTGATTCGATCGTATACCAACAGTGGAACATCCTGCGCAAAGGCACTATTTATGCCCGCTTTTCGAAGCATACTTATCAACTCCACATTCCGGTTTGCATTACCGCATCTACCGTTGCGAGCACCCGACTTTAAGGTGTGGTAGGCTTGTGGTCAGGAACATAGATGGTGGAGAGCTAAAAGGAGGATGATGTACTTTCGGGATGTATGTTTGTCCGGGTCCGTTGTTCGATCATCGTACAACAACACTGGGCATGCTCGGCCGAAAGACTTGGCACATACTCCCCAACCATGTTTGATGTTCAACGCGTCGACACTAACAGGGTCGGAAAGATACAATTGCTAGCTCCCGGCAACCTCCTGGGTCAATACCTGCATTGCCTACGTACGTGCCGTGGCGCGCAGTAATGCGCGGCATGCGCGGGTACCGACCGCGGTGACTAGAACCGTGAGTACAAGACGAGATATTTCCATGTTTATTTCACTGTATTAGTCCGTCCATCTCAATTCCAACCTTGCCCTCGCTGCTCGAACCCGCGAAATAGAAGTCACCAACCCACCAACAAACCATGACTACAACATCCAGCAAGGCGCTGTACGTCGACGAAGACGGACAAATCCAGATTCGAAACAATATCAAACACGAAGAAACTGCGGCCAACGAGATAGTGGTAGAAGTGAGATACTTAGGTGTCAACCCGGCAGACGCCAAACACTCACAGCTTGGCATCCGTTCGACAGTCAGTGGTTACGACTTCTGCGGCACTGTTGTATCAACACCTACCGGATCGCGCTTCAAGAAGGGAACCACCGTGGCTGGCTATACACCCTCGGGCATTGGCCGACCCCTGAAGTACGGCGTACACCAACGCCGTGTTGCGTGCCCAGAAGACATGGTATTCGAAGTGCCGTCCAATCTCCCGGAGAGCCACGCCGCAGCGCTGACAGTAGTGGCAATGACGGCTGCAGACGCGGTATTCAATCTGTTCCAGTTCCCTTTGCCTACCGCTCCAGTGGTCTGCACACAACCAGTCCTGGTTTGGGGTGCTTCTTCTAGCGTCGGCTTCAGCGCCGTCCAGTTCCTGCGTGCCAGTGGGTGCAAGAACATATTGGTGACTGCTTCGCCGGCCCGGCATGAGCTACTGAAGAAGATCGGGGCAACGCTTGTTTTCGATTACGCTTCGCCGACGGTTGTGTTTGATATTGCCGCTGCGGTGGAGGCTCTTGGTGAGGGCCCGATCGCTCATGCCCTGGACGCGGTCGGTGCTTCGTCTTCAGCGGACCTGGTCATACGAAGTGTGAATAATCCTTCCGCGACTTTGGTTTCTGTGACCAAATTCGATGGGGGGTTCCGCATGCCCGTTGCGTACACGAAAGACAGCTGGCGCATCCAGCCACCTGGTGTTCCGCATATAATCGAGACTCCTGCCAGACCGGAAGACCATTGGCATGCCTGGAAAGCATTGCAATGGGCCGTGGAGAACTACGGCGACCGCTTCGAGCTCCCAAATGTAGAAGTTTTTCAAGGCACTGCTGAAGACGCGTTGCAGCAGGTTGTCAAAGTTGGTGGATTTGGAAGAGGGTTTGGAAAACTAGTCATCCAACAGCCCCTGCTGTGAGTCGAGTTGTTGGTTTTGTGGAGGTGGTAATGAACTTAACAAGATACTGCTGGCGATAGTATGAGAAAAGAACATGGGTAATCGTGTTGATACCATACTTGTTAGCAGTACGTAGAGAAGCAGAGTCAAGTAGCACTCGCGTCTACTCCTCTACTACTTACGGTTTCTCGAACTAACTGCATTCTGCTCTATCTGGGACCGATGCAGTTGAAGTCTCTCCTGAAGCAAACATGGATGCTGTGCGAGGGAGCCTTCAGCAGACAACGGATCAATTAGCAGCATCGCATGATCATCGCGTTACATATAGACCTCCATTATCCTCTCCTCGGATGACCGGAGCTATGCGTCTATCGCAGGAAGCATTGCCCTTTTCGAGAAGCCCTTGCTTGCAACGCACCCAGAATGTCGGGTCCACCTTCTCAAGGACAACCCCACCATATGCACGATCATGCGTACAGTATCGGGCGCGTCACCTCGATTGGCGACGTGCTTTCGTCCCCTTACCGATGAGAAACGTGTGATGATGCGTTTGGGCGTCTCATGCACTACCAGTCGGCTTTGAGCGAGCCAATGGAGGGCTATGGGTTTTGTGGGAGATGCCGTTGAGGGAGGGCAATTCCCGGTGCAGACATCGCTTTTTTCTTGGGAAACGAATTGGTCGCCTTAGCCATTTGAACGTGTGTTCTGGTATCGCTGATAGAGTTTAGGGTGGATCATATTTGCTAACCAGCGACGTGGTAGCACATAACGGTGTGATAGACGTACAAGAGAGCGAAAGAGGAAGGCATGCATTGGGTGTGAGCATGTAAGTCCTTCGCGCCCGAAGTTTAGGTCCAACGTCGGTGTATTCGCTGACTCGTCACTGATTAGGATCGTTCGATGCAGTCAATTTCAGACACCGGCATTCAGGCGCGAGCCAGTCTTGTGTAAGTAACTGTCAACAAGTATTTTCCTCACACGTGGATAGAGTGACCTTGGTTACGCCGCACTGCTATCGCGGTAATCGCGGAGGGCGGTCGCCGAGGAAGTTTGAGTACCGGTAAGGATGCGCATTGTTCAAGGGATGTGAGCGTGGTTAGGTCTGACACCTCACCTCAAGCCACATTGTGCACGACAGCTATAACGTAGCATCAGTATAGCTCTACAACGAATTTGTAAAGGTTGAGGCGTCCAGGTGGAGTAATACAATCTACTCAATCATACATTCAACCATCCTTCTCCGTGCCGCACCTTCTCGAAGGCGCATCTGCGACCCGCCATCTAGGTTCAGCCGTGTGATGGGGCGCTCCTTGAATCCGCAACACGGTTTGGACATTGGATCATCACAACAAGCGCCAAACTGTAGTGCGTTACGGGCCGCAATCCAGCGGTGTGGGCGTTCAGAGAGCAGCATCGACTCGTGGGGACGGCAAAAGAGAGGAAGGAAGGTAGTACCAACAGCTATGTTGATTTGCCGTCTTCGCTTCAAGCGGCTAGCGCGAACCACATCGTGACAGCCCGTCGGTCGCCTCGTTATCTCCCACGCACCATCCCACTCGCAATTACCCATCGCACACCAGTCCAGCAAGCAACAAAGCATTCAGAAGATGGCATATCGGTAATGGTGAACAGGAAAAAGCAACAGTGAACCGCATAGTTGGTGTAGTTTTAGGCATCCACAAACACGCGCGAACCAATGCACCGGGACATCGGTCACGCCCGCGTCCTTCAGCCGCACGGACATGCACTGTGGCCCTCCCTTCTTCGACGTATGCCGTCATCGAAGCAAAGCCTTTCTCGTAAAACCGCTGTGTAAGAGAAGGGATATGTAACGCCGCGCGGTAAGGGTGGGAAATGCGAGATGGGGGTTAGAGAGCGGCCTGTGCAACGTCGAGCTGCGTTCCAGTGCCTTTGCTTTTTTCCTCGTCTCGATTCAAACGGCATGTCAAAATGATGGTGTCCACGTCGGATTCATGTCAAGGGGTGGCTTTAGCCACTTGTTCCTGCTCTTCTTTTTCTTCTCTTCTCTCCTCCCTTCTCGTCGCCGCACCTGTCCCTAAGTGCGTCTCTCCTACCACCCACACATTTTCTTCTTCTCCCTCTTCTTTGCCAAGTGCCCTCATCGAAGCCGTTACGCTAGCTCAGCCTTGAGGATTGCATCATCGAAATCGAGTAGCATTATCCAGGCTCAGGGTTGCTCTTGGTGAGGCTACAAAGGCCGTAGGTGGAGGCAACTGGCAATACTGGATCCGACTGAACCCCGTCAGTTGGGATGTTGCGGCAAGATTGTTAAGAGGTGGTGTCGAGATTGTTCACGATCAGAGCAGAAGAGTATACAAGAAGAGCTCATCGCAGATCCAAAGCGTATCACAATAAAATCCCGAGCTTCGCATCTACCTTCCCTAGAGCCCTAGCGCGATCAACCTCCGAAACGAATATATCACATCGACTCATCTCGTTCCGGTCCTCAATACGCCCATTCCACGACTCGTCTACGCTCGATACGACCCCATCCAACGCCTCCCGAACATGTGCTACATCGTCTACACCATACACGTGTGCAACCACTGGATACCCCAACCCCAACCCAACAACGGCCCCATACTACGCATATGCGAAGAAGCCGAGAAGCTACGACTTGGCCACCCTTGCCCGGAAACACAACGAGAGCACAAAGTCATGAACCGAAGTCAAGGCATGTGTACAGGCTGCATGTGGAAGAAAGTCAGCAAGTAAGCCATCCTCCAGATCGCTCAACGTTGTTAAGGAAAGAAAAAGCGGGGACGATATGTGGGGGTTCTCAGACGAAAGAGCCGCGGCAGAATCAAATAGCAGGAATGTGGAGATGGGATAAGGGAAAAGGAAAAGGAAAAGAACAGGATTACGGGGTGGAGAAGGGCCGATAATCTGCCTCTTCTTTGCTCGTTTAGCCTTCATAGGCGGAGACGACCGTCAACCGTCGACCGCTTCACTCTGGCTTTCCAAGGTTCTGTGTCGCGGGTCGGCGTGGGCGGTCATGATGACAGGCACATGCCGAGAATAAGGCCGCGTGTGAACGCCCACCTTCCCAACCGGAACTGCCATTGCGAGGCTGAGAGAGCAGCGACACGTGCGGCTTAGCTCTGGCGGTGCATGCACGATACGGCCCGGGTCTCGGTCCGACCAAGGTGTCAGATTTGCCGTTTGTCTGGGGGATTCGCTGGGTGAGCTTGAGGGTTCTTGAGGCGCTGCGGAGTTGACGGAATACAAATATACCCGGGAGGTCTTTTGTCTTTTACGTCGGTGTTTGGGGTAGAAGGGTGCAACTATCGATAGTAACGTATTTCTAGTCCATGATATGATAGACCATTGCGATAGCAAGAGTTCAATGTCTCCATCTCCAAATCCGCCTTACGCGCAAATCAATGCTTGAAGTACGTATCCATGCATGCTACTCAGTTTAGCCTTGGGTAACGGGTCAACTATTGCCGTCATAGCCATGTGCTTTCCAAGGGAGCCAAGCGAGGCAAAGCCTTTCAAGCATTGGCCGTTCTTGTTGCTAAAATTGGAGTCTACTCCAATTGACTTTGGCGTCGTTGGAGTCGCCGCGTGTTATCGGGGCTGTTCGCTAAGGCTGGTCATGTCAGACAACGGGAAGCATGCGGAAGTAACCGGCGGCTTGTTGCGGTTCGGCACAATTTCTCCAGTATGATATGGGGATCTGATCGGTTTTCCTGTGGTATAATAGGTACCCGCGATATGCGACCTGGTGTCTATGCTGCAAAGCTGCGAGGGGCTTGGAACGGGGAGGTTGTTACGCTTTCATGTATGAATCGAAGGCCATGCATCATATATCCTACGCTCGCATTACCTACCGTCTGATACCATTGCATATGGTTCCTGATCGCCCAGGATCCTTCCGTTTATAGCTCGGAGAGGAATCGTCCGTGTTGGAAGTGGCAACGTTCATCCAGATAACGGGGTCTTCTCATCATACCAAAATAGTGACTTGAAACCATCGTAGACAACCGGAGACGTGGAATCGTCGGTATCCCCGAACGCGACGGTTTATACTTTCGACCATTCCCAAGGTAGCAGCGTTCCCGCCGAGCACATGATCTCGCACTCATTTTTGAGATAGTCCCCAAGAAACCGTACCAGAAGCGCGATATCGACCAACCGATCGTAAAACATTCTATAGCATTATAGATGTGAAACTTCAACACATAGTGTAACGATTGGACTATCCCCTAGCCTTTACCACCAGTTTCTTTTACCCAGGCGCTCGTAACACCTGCTCATCGCGTGGCACTGGACTAAGCGACGTTGTCGACATTTCTAAGACCGCTGTGGTTGCAGAACAAGCATAATGTATGCCAGGCAGACCAAAGACGCGAACAGATGAGAAACGGGAGAGATAGCTCTGTCCCAAGCCATCGTCGGTCCTGAACGTGTATAGTGATCCTCCCCCTCTGACGCTTAATGAGGTGACAAAGCATGAGACACCAGATAATGTCATGATTTCGGTTGGGTTGCTACATATGTAGCATGATATTCTAGCAAGTCACACATGAGATATTGTATACTTATACCATATGCTTTAGCGAGACCTTTTGAACAAGGAAGATCTACAAACTACAAGTGACGAGGTTCTAGTAATTCGTTGTGATGATGGCGTTAAGTGCAAAGAAGGCCAGGACGCGTAATCTGTGCTACGGTCACATATCGGGCTTTCAGCCCAACCCTACAGGCAAGAGACGGAAGGCGTCTGTGTTCGGTTACTCAGCTTGTAGAACGAGAAGACACTACTCGATATAGGAGAGAGCAAGAGGCGCCTCTTCGTGCGTATTATGCTTGATAATGTTGCGACTTGTCGAAGCCGCGCGACAAAAGCATGATCGCGCACAAATTACCACGTGGCTTAGCATCTCGGAGATATGTCCATGAACTTACCATGCGACACAATGTGTGTTCCTGGCTAGTGGTTGCGGAGTTGAGTCTATCAGATTGGGAGGGAAAAGGAAATCTGATCCGACAAGGAGGCACCCATGAAGCTTGACTCGTCAGAATACGAACGGAACCATGGACAGTCATGCCGATGCACTGTTGAACTTCGGAGTCTCATCCGGTAAATCGTGCGACATATCCATGTGATAGCAAGATAGAATGCAGGATGAGAGTGACGCGAGGCGTGGAGCTTCGCATCCAGACAGTCTATACTCTGCCTGCGGGATCGGTTCGGCACCAAAGTGACGATAGCCGTAGCGAGCAGCGCCGCATCAGCCACCACACCCTTGCGTGCGTTATTGCTTTTCTTGATAAAGACGGCCTGCAGCCCGCATGATTGCTCATGCAGCCCGTTTCGACCTCGGGAATGTCATCCCGGAAGGAGAATGGATGTGGTCCCACCTTTCAGGGTTGCACCGAGAGGCCGCCCGGTCCCACACAACCCTGAGGCGAACATCTTCATGGAACATGACAAGCTCATGGCGTACACGAACCAAAGTTTTTTCGCAACCAAACATACGAGCCACGGGTTGGAAAGCGTGGCAATTTTCGGTGGTGGAGACTCCCATGCCTGCGAGCGGGGAATATTGCGGGCCTGAGGGGATGCAGAGGTAACACAACGCATCATGCGCTTTCCCGTTTTCTTTGAGCCCTTCTCTGGGCGTGCAGCTTCCTGTTGCTTCGACAATCGAGGGATCAAGTGGGGGGATAAAGTGGGTATCGGAAAATGCTTGACCTTCCCTCCGCTAGCCAGGCGACTAAGGGTGTTGTCGGACAGAACAGCGAGGTTGCACAACCTGTCAGCTAACGGCTCTCACCAACCACTCATCTGTGTCGCCGATCGCCTGCATTAGCTATATGCAGGCTCACCCGGAAAGCAGTGTAGGGATGAAGATCGCAGCATTTCACGGATAGAGCCATGTTCCAGATGTTGTACTCTCCAGGGAGGAACGGTTTGCCAGTCATGTCACAGCGCTGAACGGCGCGCAGCATGCAGGTGGGTGGAAGCATCAAGGCGCCGTGAAACGTTCGGATGCGCGATAGTAGTAGGTAGGGGTGGGCGTGGATTACCACTGGTACGGACGAGGTGTATTGGCTAAATACATGGCCTGCCTTGCTCGCCAATGCGGGGAGACGGTTTATTGATAGATGGTCATGGTCCTCGTGTTGGCGGCTTATGGCAGGATATGTTTGCTTGCGACGCAGTTCAGCAGGGGCTAGCGACGTAGGATAATAGAGTTTCCTCAGGCAAAGACGAAACCGAACAGGTCCTTCTGAGCTTGCACAACTGCAAGTACGCAAGTTAAAAACCTAACATTAATGCAGGCGTGCAGGTTGTCTGATAAGGCAAGCAATGTTCTCTTGCTTCCTGCTGCAGTTGGAGGCGTCCGGTCTTCCCTTGACCGGGGTGGAGTCGACAGAAACAAATACCGGGTGCCGCTCGTCAGGCAGTTAGATGATGAACGAAGCAAAATCCCCGGGCCACAGCCGCCAGCTGGAGTGCCAAGACGAGGCTCAATCCTTCGCCGTCCCACAAAACGTTTCAAGAAAACAATCGCACTCTCTAAAGGTCGTGTCCCTGATGACAGGATGGGGAGCAGATATGTATCTATCAAAGATCGACAAACTCTCGGCTTCTCGGGTCACGATGTGAGCGGACGGGCACGATGCAGATCTGAGCCTCGCCATGACAGACACGGACGCGAAGAACGTTTTGCTGGTGCGTTTCGCATGCGCCTCGCCGTTACCGCACAAGTCTGCCGCGTTCAGACAGAACGTACTGCAGACAAGATTTGGAAAATCGAGAAGTGACAGTAGCTCAAAGTGGCAGCGAAATGTTAATTGTTTGGTGAGGGAGCTAGATGGACCTTCCGCATTGGTAAGACCGCAGTCCCTTTAAAAACAGCCTCGCTTACCGGCACGGCTTTGATGACGCGCGCAGGCCAGCCCTGGATCCACAAGCTGGAGTTTCACGTGGGTGCGGTTCTTGAGCCCAGATGCTAAGAGAGGGGCTTTTGCTAGCGGCGGCCCGATGTCCTTTTCTCGGTCACGCTGCTCCGTGGACACCAGCGACGGAAACGGTATCGACAGATGTGCTACGGGTGCGGTGGGCTGCAGCACGCCAAGAAAGTTGGACGCAATCATGGCTCGAGTGAAGGGCGGCAGATGCCAGCGGCTTGGTCCTGCACCGAGGCGACGCAATCCCGGTTGCATGCTCATGCGCCAACAAGTGATCGACTCTTGTCAGATTCAGGCTGCGGCAGGGGGTGGATTGGGTGACACGAGCCTTTTTGCCGAGGACGCGGGAGCGGAGGACAACTGCGTCACATTGCGATGCATGCCGAGAGCCGCTAAGCAGACGACGGAGGCTTCTCTGTTCTCATGTGGAGGCTGGCTGATCGCCCGCCCCCGGCCTTTGGACGGTACTGCGTGTGGGTGCGCACCATCTGTGTCAGCACCGTCGTAGGCCTTGGTGCCCCTTTTGCAGGCCCTATACCAGCCCATTCCTGGCGGTTCCGAAATGACAACCATGCCGTTTTACCTAGTAGGCGCGCCAGCTGAAGACGCCGTAGGGCGACGATGGGGGTCTGGGTGGCTGGCATGGTAATCTGGCGACGCCTCCCAGAAAGCCCCGCTGCGCGAACAGGCAGTCTCGGGAAAAGAAATGCACCATCCATCAGCGTGGGTGTCGCGCTGCGTTGGGTGCCTTGGAGAGAGTTTATTTTGCAGGGAGAAAGTTGAGGCTGGAACATGCTCGAACCACGATCCACATGTGTTCGCAACGTCCAACGGCCCCTGCGACCATGTCTCATTAACTCGTTCAGGCAGAGGGTGTGGCGTTCTGCGCTGGCAGTGTATCATCATGGCAGTAGAAAATCGGCGAACCCAGATTGATGTGTCCTCTAGATGCGGCGCATATAGCGTAATGGCGGTAGCGTGTCAATCCATCGGCTCCGCTGTTGGGTGAACCTGGGACGAACCGTACCAGATCCGACGGAACGATCTGAAACAAACCATTCGATCTGCCAGAATTAAATCGCCTGGCTCAGCGTGATTAAGCAGTCTGGCTCGTCTGTCACCTGGCACCAATGTGATGTAGTAGTACAGTAAGGCGCCGGCGGTGGTTGCATGGGTCGCGGCGGATAGTCAGCGCGTCGATGCTAGGCACGTAATTTACGGCCCACTGGCTGGCACAAAGTGGGTCTTGGGCTAGCCGTGCACGCTAAACCATGCATCCCTGCAACATCTGGTCCCCTTACCCACGTCTGATGGAAGGGACGTTGGAGCGCCCCTTCCATCTGTTGGTCTGCGGCTTCCTCATCTGTTTTCTCTTCCGCGAGGCTGCATCCTACACCAGTCCTTCCTTCTCAACACACGTCGTGGCGAAGACCACCACATTGATTGTTGCTCTCTGACAGCTCTGCCCTCCAAGTCGGGGTCCACACCGTCCGTGTTCCTCTGCGCGCTGCTGTCGTTCTCCGCGCCAACCTCCACGCCTCGACTCGCACCCGTCAGTACGCTTGCGAGACGCGCTCCCACGCCCGACTGTACGTAGCCATCCTCCATCACCACCATCAAGCAGCATCTCCTGACTCATCCAGATCGACAGCCCGGCGACCCTTCAGTTGCTCCAGTCTGGTCTTCCCCTCCATCAGACTACTCCGTCACTGTCGCAGCTTCAGTAGCGCAGACGTCGCATTGTAGCCAGATCGGTCGCAAGCAGCCTTCATGGCACAACACCAGCAACCCTCGCCCACTACGGGCATGCCTCCGCATCATGTAGGGCAGCATCATCCCGCGCACGCGCAGGTGAATGGACACCCGCCGCACGCGACCCAGCCCAAGACACCGTCGCAGTACTTGGGGCAATTGACCGAGGCTGTATGGACTCAGATGGGTAAGCCAGTATCCAGTGTGCGCAGGGCCGGCACAGACTAACACCCAACAGGCTCTCTCTCTGAGCAAATGCAAGACTTGGAAGGCGCCATGCAATGCTACGAACAGGCCTTGAAGTTCAACCAGTGGTCTGTGCCAGCTATGCAAGGTATCGCGTGCATTCTCCGCACCAAAGATGCCTTTCCAGCAGCTGTCGAATACTTGCGCACGATTCTCAAAGTCGACCAAGCCAATGGCGACGTTTGGGGCAGCCTCGGTAAGAAATTTGCGCGCATCTTTCGCGAATCATCTCACTAACAAAACCAGGTCACTGCTACTTGATGATGGATGACTTGCAGCAGGCGTACTCTGCCTACCAGCAGGCGCTGTACCATCTGTCTGACCCAAAGGAGCCCAAGCTCTGGTATGGCATCGGAATACTATATGATCGCTACGGATCGCTTGAGCACGCCGAAGAGGCCTTCTCGCAGGTAATGCGCATGGAGCCTACGTTCGAAAAGGCAAACGAGATCTACTTCCGCCTTGGCATAATCTACAAGCAGCAGCAGAAGTTCAACCAAAGTCTAGACGTAAGCATACTTGAATCTCACCCCACGAACGCTTCTAACAGTTGACAGTGCTTCAAATACATCGTCACCAATCCTCCTCGCCCACTTACTGAAGAGGATATCTGGTTCCAGATTGGACATGTGTACGAACAGCAGAAAGAGGTTTGTCTCACCAAGCTTCGTAAGCTTTCACCGCTGACATGACGATTAGTTCGAAGCAGCCAAGGGCGCCTATCGCCGGGTTCTCGAGCGTGATGCCAACCACGCCAAGGTCTTACAGCAGCTGGGCTGGCTACACCACCAGCAGAGCACCAATTACGCTAGCCAGGAGCAGGCCATTGAGTACCTGGAGAAGTCTGTTGCTTCCGGTAAGCATTGCATCCCCGTGTGATTATGCGCGTGTATCTAATCCATTGCTCTAGATCAAACGGACGCGCAGAGTTGGTACTTGCTGGGACGCTGCTACATGTCACAGCAGAAGTACCCCAAGGCGTACGAGGCTTATCAGCAAGCTGTGTACCGTGACGGCAGGAACCCGACCTTCTGGTGCAGCATTGGTGTACTGTACTACCAGATCAACCAGTACCGCGACGCGCTAGATGCATACTCCCGTGCCATCCGCCTCAACCCCAACATCTCAGAAGTCTGGTACGACCTCGGCACACTGGTAAGTAGTTGATCGTCCCTGGACTGAAGGCTCTTCACTAACAATGGCACAGTACGAGTCCTGCAACAACCAGACAGCGGATGCACTAGACGCATACCAGCGCGCGGCCGACCTCGACCCATCTAACGTACACATCAAGGCTCGCCTGCAGCTTCTGCAGAATGGACAGACGTCTGCTGGCGCCCCGAACCAGGGCAATGCTCCTATACCTCAAGACGTGCACCCTCAAGCCTACCAGCCTGCCTCTGTACATGGACCTACCGCTCCGCAATGGGGCGCACCTCAGCCCCAGCAGCCTCCGCAAGGTCCTGCTCCTCCAGCCCTAGCGCCCGGATGGGATCGCCCTCTGGCACAGATCCGCGACCCTGGCCTTCCACCACAGCAGCTGAACCCATATGAGCAGCGCGAGGGCATTCGACCGCCTACACAGCATGCTCCCCAGAGGCCCGTAAGCCCCCGACAGGAAGCTCCCAGGTCATACGCAGAGCCTCCTCGTCCTCCCACAAACGGACCGGGTCCTCAAGGGCCAGCTGGTCCCCCACCTCCCGGACCACCCGGGCCAATGCGCCGTGGCATGTCTCCATCGCCGAAGACACACCATGCTGCTCCCAGCCCCTACCACCCTCAGCCACCGCAGCTGACACCGCAGGCGGCTCATGCGCAGCCACAACCACCTCTGCCCCTACATCAGCAACAGCAGCCACCTCAGCCTAACCGTATCTCCAACCCGAACTACGGCCCTCACGCTGGTAGTGTGCCTCCTCCACCCCCGCCCCCACCTACAGGTCTCGGTGGCCCACCATCTCAGGCCTCTAGCCAGAGCGGCGTACCTCCATACGGTGTTCGCCCTGCCAGCCCACCTCCGGAAGTGCGCCCGATCGTTGAGAACCGAGCGGGATCTCCACGCAACGGATACCAGGGACCGTACCAGCACCATGCTGATCCTTCTGCAACCGGTGGTATTGCTAGCGGAGCTCCTCCACCAGCTTCTGCCCAGACGGCTGCTGAGCAAGCAGCCCGCGAGCGTGACGACCGGCCGCCGACTGCTCCACCGAAACGACACCGCGAGTGGGAGGAGAATGACCACGCGAATGCAAAGCCTCCCATGAACGACGAGAAGCGTCAGAAGATGGAAGAGCCTCACAGCCGCCGTCCAACTCCCCCGCACCGCATGTCTTCTCCTCAGGTGCCGCGCCAGAGCCCTCAGGAGGGTCCCGATCCCCGGCGCTTCAACGATGGCTACCACCCGTCCGAGGCTGCTCACCACCCGCCGTCGCTCCCACCCATGGCAGCTGCGCGACCATTATCTCGCATGTCAGAGACACCAAAGCAGGAGCGCATCGAGCGACCTGAGCACCACGAGCCGGCTGCCCGCCAGATGGATGTGGATGAGAACTACGACGATGAGGGCGATGACGCGAAACCTACCGCGCCCAAATCTGAGCGCAGTAGCCCTCGCAATGCGCCCACCAACGGCGTTCCTTCTCATGCTCCCACGCCAGCCGAGCAAAAGTCTTAGGATGATTTCGAGGTACTCTTCGGGCAGCACTAGAATTCTGACAGGGTTTTACTTTCTTGTTTTTGCAATTAGTTACATGAGAATTGGGGAGTTGGGGATGTCTAGTTGGAGGGCAAAACATGGAAGAGACGTGGTAACGTACTTCCGCATGGCGATGATACCCTGCGCGCCTTACATAGTCCCCGCGCTTTTCGAGTGTTGTATGTATTTCTTAATCACCCACGAGAATGAAAATGCGATTATCACTATATACCCTGTTGCTTTGGTGTGCACTATGACTTCATCGTATCATTCAAGTGACTACTGTTCATTGGTAGCGCAGGTGGTGTCATTACTCGCTGCAACTTGCAGTGATCAAGGTCGGCGCAAATGGTGGGGTTGCTCACCTGCTCGTGGAAACGCCCGCAGTTAGCTGCTGTTGCGTCATCGCAGCGCGCTGCATCGCGAAATCATGGAAAGGCTTCTCCAACATCTTCCTCGCTATACTGTACATCCTAATTACGCGGAGCTCTCGTCTATTTCATACATCCCCAAACGACTGACGCGCCATAACGACCAACCATCCTCCTGTTTCGCTGTCCAAAATCACCAATCCACACGTCGCACCTTCCACTCCATCGTCTCCGTCTCACGTCCTGTTCTACCCATACGTGCTTGTTGCGTCAAAACCGTTCGCCTGACCGCCCTTTGTAACATGTCTTCCGACGCCGACTACGCCGCTTTTCTCGACAAAGCAAATCAGGACACTGGCTCTGCGGAGACCAAGGACGCGTCGCAGAAGAAGAGCTATGGCACCAAGAGCGTGAACACGGCCGTACCCAAAGCGCTAGAACAAGTAGAAGAGTACTATGTCAGCGACTCAGATGAGCCGTTTGAACCGGTTGCGTTAGAGTTTGATGGCGACAGCGTGTCTGCTGGTAGGATTCCCCTCATTTACGCGCACAGCGACGACAAGCCTCACGAAGTATAACATGCGCTAACATACACACAGACGACCTGAAGAAGCTCATCGGGAGCGACTCGGTAGAAGAGGTCAAAGGCACCGGCTTCGAGAGCCAATACAAAAAGATCATCGACGCGGTGAAGGCAGCCGGTAACGGGACCGTCAACGTATACCGGGTGGAGCTGTCGGGCACCAGGGCAGAGTACTACGTGGTGGGCGTGGACAAGGCGGAAGGCAGGATCGTGGGTCTCAAGGCTCTTGCCGTAGAGTCGTAAGCAGCAATGCACCGGGAAATGAAGACATGAACATGATCACGATGCGCTGCGCCGGATTATACACATGCCGATCTACATCGAACACGTTCCTTCCTGCGATGATGGGGCTCGGGTGCCCATGGCGCGAATAACGCCGTTTGAAACACGTCGCGCTCGCTGGGTTATGGTTGACAGTCAACGGGTCTCACTGACAAGATGGTGGAGCGTGCAGGTTCATGATGCGACGTCAGAAATTCGATTAGTAGATGTAATCTGCTGGTAGATCTGCGCTACGTGCATCTCTACATACTGTACGGTTGTCATAGCTTTGGGCTTCAGTGTGGACTTGTTTTCTCCAACCTCCCCTTCAATTATCGTACATGTTTGGATAAGAAAACATGTATGCATGGTCGCATGATGCCTGTGCGTGTATGCACGCGGCAATGGTGAAGCCCAGACGACACGCATGAGTCGCGCGGCGGGCTTCGAACCGCCAGTATGGCAAGAGACGTCCAGCAGGCTCGTTGCTCGACTTCAGCTTGCACGACATATAGATAGTTCAGCCTCGTGTACGTCAAGACCGCAGCCTTGCAATACGGTATCGATATATAGTTTGATTGGCTGTTTAAACACACTAGTTCGCCCAATCCGGCTATGCCTCGGCCGGACGTTGCAAAGTTCCAGAACCGGGCGGTCAGCTGCGCCTCCGAGCTTCATTTCGGGTGTACCCTAGGGAGCGCTTGGCCCCGGGCAATGGGATCCAGCAGTCTCAACCAGATTGGAAGCCGACCGATACGTGTCGGGAAGCCTAGGACGACGGCAAGCTGAACAGACCGGCGTGGAGCGGGTTGATTGAGATGCAGACGACGATAGGGAACGGTAGAGACGAAACGGATGGGTTAGAGCATTGGCCATTGCATGTCTCGGGGATCCGAAAAGAAGGTGAGGGACGTGGGAAGGATCAAAAAGGATGGTGTCAGATCGCCACGCTATCTTCGGCAGCGATACGGTGGGCGACCTGGTCAACACGAGATAAGATCGTGAAGTTACATGTACGTTTCTCAACGGTCGTGAGCACGAGGCACGTTCTTGTAACTGGTACCTTGGTACAAGTGCGGTAGCAAACGCCGCTTGCGAGGATGGGGGATTGCGGTTATTATATGTGGTGCCGACGCGTAATGGTAGAGGCGATGATCTTAGGCTATCGATTGCGCGTGCAAAGACGCGGATGCGCGTTTGGATTCTTGGAATGCCATGTTGAGGCGCGGGATATGCAGAGCTAGCGGTTGCGATGCAGCGTGCAGGCGGTTTCTATAGAGACAATCGTGTGTACCGTGGAGAGGCTGCATGTGAGGGGTGTTGAGGGGAATGACGGCTTGGTTGAAGGCGTCAAAGTTTGGGTGACAGGCAGACAGACAGACAGCAGCACGACGGGCTTCACGCATGACATGGCAATTTGGGTACTTTTTGACAGGCTCCACCATAGGAGAGGCAGTGGAAAAGTGTTGAAACGGGCTTGGTAAATTTAGCAAGGCTCTCCCGCTGGTGTGCGTAAGCGGGCCTTTGAATCTTCGCCGCATGCAAGCGCCGTGGCAGCGACGATTGGCCGCTCCTTAGTCGAGCTTCGAGATCTTCGCCCTCCCTGAAGTCCGTGTGGGCCCGACTCAGGAACAAAGCCCTAACCTCTCCCACCACCCACCGCTGCTTGCCACTCTCTGACCACGGCGCCGTCGCTTGTTGTGTTCCTGTCACTATCCCACAACATATCAGTGCCTCTCTTTGTTGCATTATTTCCCGCATCATTACCATCGCCATTCTAATCTGCACCTTCCAGCCCAGTGCGTCCTGCGTCATCCGTCATTCGCGCCTGCTGCCGTTGACCAGCGCCTGCCCTGCCAAGTCCCTTATCCTGGGCGCCCCCGTTTGGGCCAGGAGCCATCGATTCACCTCCCCTTGAACCTCGACCTCCCCCATTTTCCCTCACGCCGCCCTCCTTCCTGCTCCTCGACGCCCAGCAGCGATACCGAGCAGCATCGCATGACGAGTGGAGGATATCCGGCTTCCCACGTGCTTTACCTGACACCACTAGCTGCAGCATAGCCCCTGTTAGGAATTTGCCCACCCGCGTGCCATAGGTTACCGCAACACTCGTTTTCCACCTGCATACCGCCTACGCCGATTCATCCTCTTCACTTCGCTCTGCTATCCGAGTAGCAGCTAGCCAGGAATTATCGCCAACCCTCACCGCATACGCTCCCTCGCACCATGATGCCGCAATCGCCGAGGGGAGACGGGCCGCCCCATCTCCGCCTCAACTCGGGCTCCCACGAGCCCAGGACCGACGACAACTCGATGCCTGCTGTGCGCCCCAACACGGCACGAACCAACTCTGCGCGCTCGTTAACCCAGCCAATCCGTCCTGGCACAGCCCCAAGTCAAGGCATCCGATCGCCCGGCGCGCCCGATGTATACAGCAATGCGTCCATCGCAGAGTCCGCTGAGATGTTGCTCCCGCCGCAGAAGATCCGCACGCAGCGCTCCTACCGAGACGAATCGCCCATGCAATCGCCCTCTGGCTTTTCCTCGCGGCGGACAAGTTGGAGCTCAGACATGACGGGAGGGCCTTTCGCTTCGCCTTTCGACGACTCGAGAGCGCCGTCGCGAGCTGGCAGCGAAGAAGATCTCAACACCCAGACTGTCTCTGAGAAGTTCAACATTCACCCATCGGCTGGATTGTTGCTCTTCCCGGAAGACGTGGAGAAGGACGACTACCTGCACAATCCCGACCCGAACGAGAAGGACAAGAGAGACTGCGATGTCTTCACGCGGAGAGGTATAGTCAATCTGGGTGGATTGGCCATTCTCGCGCTCGGTCTTCTCATGCTTTTCATCGGTTACCCCGTTCTGTACGTATTTGCGATTCCGACGATTTTCGACTTCACTAACGCATCGCAGCACCTTCGTCGAGGATCTCACGGCACCAGAACGAGGCCCATGCACAGACAATCCTCTGTGCATAGAAGGCAAGCAAAACGAGCCGCTTTTGAACAACCTACGAAAGGGCCTCATTGATCCCGATACGCCCAAGGAGGCCATGACGCGCACATCGTACAACGGCGAGGAGCAAGTCTTGGTCTTTTCAGACGAGTTCAACACCCCCGGTCGCACGTTCTACGATGGCGATGACCCATTCTTCCAAGCTGTCGACATCTGGTACGGTGCTACTATGGATTTGGAGGTAAATTTCGAAATAGCCATCTTCAAATTGCAGCGCTGACATGTTCCAGTGGTACGACCCAGATCAAGCCTACACCGAAGACGGCGTTCTCGTCCTGAAATTCACCAAAGAGAAGAGCCACGGCCTCGATTACCGTTCTGGTATGATCCAGTCGTGGAACAAGCTCTGCTACAAGGGTGGACACTTGGAGGCCAGCATTTCGCTGCCTGGTCGTGGTAACACGAGTGGTTTCTGGCCCGGTTTCTGGACTATGGGCAACTTGGCTCGCCCCGGTTACCTCGCCTCGACTGAGGGTCTTTGGCCATACAGTTACCACGACAAGTGCGACATTGGTATCACGCCAAACCAGAGTTCATACGACGGTCTCAGCTACTTGCCTGGTATGAAGCTACCCGCTTGCACCTGCGACGGCCAAGACCATCCCAGCCCCGGCAAATCCCGCAGTGCTCCGGAAATCGATGCTTTGGAAGGTTCAGTTCATTTCCTCGGTCCTGGAGAGTCCAACGCCATTGGTGTCGTGTCTCAGTCCTTCCAAGCAGCACCGTTCGACACATGGTACATGCCTGACTACGGTAAATTCTCTCACTTCCGTTTGATCGGATTCAACTAATGTTTGGCAGAATACATGGAACTCTATGATACCTCGATTACCACGATGAACGCTTACAAGGGTGGTCCCTTCCAGCAAGCTATCTCTGGGTTGACCAACTTGAACAACGACTGGTACAACGGCAAGCAGTATCAGACATACTCATTCGAGTACAAGACCGGCGACGAAGGTTTCATCACCTGGTATGTCGGAGAGGACAAGACCTGGACCATGTCCGCACCAGCGACGCGTGCCAACGGTAACATTGGAACGCGAGTCATCCCGGAAGAGCCAATGTCCATCATTGCCAACTTCGGAATGTCGAACAGTTTCGCAGCCATCAACATTGAGGACATCGAGGCGCATGACCTCCCGGCCAAGATGCGGATAGACTACATTCGCATCTACCAGCCAAAGGACAACCAGATCATGACTTGCGATCCCGAGGGCTACCCTACTACCGACTACATCAGGAACCACCCTGAGCCTTATGCGAACCCTAACATCACTGACTGGTAAGTCCATACATCACATCTGTTATGATAGTACTAACATGAACCAGGAAATCCAGCAAGTACGACTGGCCCAAGAACTCCTTCATGGATGGTTGCAAGGCAGAAGTAGAGACCTAGTGACCTGCAACTTCCCAGAGACTGCTGGCTTTCGGTCTCTGTTGTCATCACTTCCCTTGTGTCGACTACCTTACGTGGCCATGGCAGTACGACGAATACCCCTCAAGATTGGAGTTCCCTCGCAAAAAAGCACGTTAATTATAGATCATCGTTTCCTCTTTTCGACCTTTTCGAAGGCCACATTAGCATTTGCATGGAGCCGGGGGCGTTTACGACATTTCGAATCTCACATGCCTTCGCCTTCGCCTTACTCGGGGACCCAAGATGTTATCTGGCCTGCGTGCGACTGTCCGGTTTCCTGGAACTAGGGGCCACTACTTCAACGCACCGCCGTCGCGCCGATACACAAGCCGCCTATCGCTCGCTTCGACTGCGCCCGTCCAGTTGTCCATTGAACGATCCCCTTTCAGCAGCGGCTTCGTCTGCAAAGAATCTTTTCCAACCTTCTCACATATAAACGGCGCGCGCAACTCTGTATATCACGGCATCTGTTCTTCCATGCTTCGCCTGTACAAAGCATACTTGCAACATCAAGACTTTTCAAGACCGCCTTTCTGTTTCCCGTCTTCTTCCCTCATCTTCTTTCCAGGGTCTTGGTCAAAGTGGAGTTGCTGGGCGGCGCCTTACAGCTTCCAATCACCCCAACTTCTTCTTCTTCTTCTTTCGATCATCTGAATTGTTGTCTTGTAATGCATCGCTTGGCTTCTATTTCTGCTGCTTCATCTTTTCTTTGATATTGTTGGACATTTTGGGAGCAAATATGGCAAAGGGACTACTGGGGATGGAATGATGAATGAGGAAATCTGGTCTTTTTTATATTGATATATCCGGGCGTTTTTAATGTTTAGCAGAGGGAGAGGACGTAGATGTGGGAGGAGGGTTTGAGGTGGCGGTGGCGGTGGTGGAAGAAGCTGCTGCTGTTGTTGGTAGAAGGGTGGCATATGAATGGTGTAGGAGATGAGAGAGGAGGAGGAGTAGACAGGAGATAACATACCCTCTGATGTGTATACTGAGAGTTTATTCAATCAAGTTCAACAAACAACACTTCTTCTCTTGCATGTGTGAGGCTTGTGGACGTGTGTGGTACGACATGATAATGCTGTTGAATAAGGGATACACGGGTGTCTGGCTTGAGAGGTGGCAGTGCAGTTCTTCAAGTTCTTCCAATGTATCCTCATCAAGAATCGATGTCACGCAGTCTAGTCCTCACACGTCACAACATAGCCAGCATTGACAACATGTCAAGATCGAAATCCCATTGATCCTTTCTCACAACGCCTACCATTCACCCAAGCATCCCACCCAAACACACCGGTATACCTAAATACTAATAAAGAAACTCTTTTCTCCCTCCTTCGGCTCCACCCAAGCACGCTTCAAAATCGGATCCGCACAACTAATCCTTATCCGCTCGACCGTCGCAGGCGACGTAAGCGACAAAAGCGATGTTTCGCCAAATTGTGTGCGCGCAGCTTTCAACGCGTCGCGAATGGCGAAGAAGACAGCGCTGCCCATGAAGAGGGGGGGTTCGCCTAGTGGTATCAAGTCAGTAAACAGTGACGGTATAAAGGAAGACGGGTGGGTAAGGAAAGAAACAGGAAAAACCCGGGAAAAGACTTACCAACACCCCTACTCCTCTGAATAGTCCTCAAATTCTCCCAATTCACATCCTTCAACAAACTAACATTCAGCACCTGCGGCACATCCCTAAACCCAGGGATCTTATAATTCCCGGGCCCCTTCGTCGCGACCCCACCCGTCCCCCTCAACCACAGTGACTCCTCCGTAGTAAAAAGCCCCTGACCCTGCACAAACGCGCCTTCAATCTGGCCATAGTCAATCGCCGGGTTAATACTGCGGCCAACATCCATTTTGATATCGGCGCGACGAGTCGTCCAGTCACCAGTGAGCGTGTCGATTTCAACTTCAGCGGCGGCAACGCCCTGGGTGAAGTAGAAGAACATCTGGCCTGTGTTGGCGCCCCAGACGTAGCCTATATCGGGGGTTTTGTAGAAGCCCTGTGCGGAGAGGTTGACGCGGGAGAAGTAGGCGGCGTGGGCGAGGTCTTTCATGGTGGCGTCTTTGCCTAGTTTTTCGCGGAAGGGGGCGAGGCGGGCGTTTAGTTCCACGCAGGCGTTGTGGATGGCGTAGCCGTTTAGGTCGGAGGAGGCGGAGGCGGCGGTCGAGGAACTGTTTGCGACGGTGTTTGTGGCGGTTTCGCTGATGAAGACGGAGTCGAGGGGGACGCCGAGAGTTTCCCCGGCGATTTGCGTCATCTTGGTGTGTAGGCCTTGGCCCATTTCCGTGCCGCCGTGGGCGACGAGGATGCTGCCGTCGTGGTAGATGTGGACGAGGGCGCCGGCTTGGTTGAGGAAGAGGGCGGTGAAGGAGATGCCGAATTTAGTGGGGATGATGGAGAGACCGCGTTTGTTCCACTTGTGTGTTTTGTTGAACTCTTCGATTTCTGCGCGGCGTTGGGCGTAGGCGGATTCTTCTTGCACTTGCTTGTACATGAGTGGGACGTACCAGTCTTTGATTTCTTGGTTGAAGTGCGTGATCATGTTTGTGGAGGGCGAGTAAAAGTTGATTTCTCGTAGCTTCTCCACGGGGATATTGAGGTGGTCGGCGACTTCTTCCATGTAGGTCTCTGCAATGAACATGCCCTGTGGTCCGCCGAAGCCTCGGAATGCGGTGTTGGAAACGGTGTTTGTCTTCGCGACACGTCCGCGGACATGGATGTTGGGTATCGAGTAGCAGTTGTCGATATGGGAGAGAGACCGCTCCACAACTGCACCAGAGAGATCCTGACTCCAACCACCATTGCAGAAGACGTCTGCATCAAGGGCTTGTAGCTTACCGTCTTTGTTGACGGCAACTTTCCAGCGAGCGAGGAAGGGATGCCGTTGTCCAGATGTCATGATGTCTTCGTCTCGGTTCAACATACAGCGTACAGGTCGACGAACCTTATTCGCTGCGCAGGCCACGATACCAGCGAGTTGGACTGAACGCGTCTCTTTACCACCAAAACCACCACCCATGCGCTTGACACGGGTGACAATCTTGTTGGCGGCGACACCGACGACCTTGGACACATATGCTTGCGTCTCCGCTGGATTCTGCGTACTGCTGAAGATCTCCATCTCGCCATCCTCCGGCTTGGGGACGGCGACACATGCTTGAGTCTCCAGGTAGAAGTGCTCTTGACCACCCATGCGCGCTACACCAGTGAAGACGTGATCAGCCTCGGCAAACGCCTTCTCGGTGTCTCCCTTCTGGATGTGACGGAAGTGGTTGAAGTAGCTATCCTTCTCGATAGCCTCTTCTATCGTGAAGATAGCTGGAAGCTCTTCATACTCGATCTTGACAGCACGTGCGGCCTGCTCTGCATGTTTCGCTGTGTCAGCCAAGATCATACCAATTGGCTGACCAGCAGTGAAGACTTCGTCGAGAGCGAAGAATGTCTCATCGCAGGACGGCGCACCCCACCAGTTGGCTTCTGGAGATGCAAGATCCTTGTGGTCGACGTACGTAACAACACCAGGAAGTTCCAGTGCGGGTTCGGCATCGACGGATAGTAGCTTGGCATGTGCCTTTGTTGAAAGTACCAAGCAGCCATACAACTCGTTTCTTTGCAGGGGAATGTCGTCAGTGTACTGCGCCTCTCCAGTGCACTGCTTCATAGCCGCGACATGGTTCTTCGACTGCCCGACTTCATTCTGGATGTAAGCCTCAGCAGCCTTGTCGTCCTTCTTGCCCGAGCTAATATCTCTTTCAATCTCGCCGATTGCATGTGTGTCGACTTCAACTTCCTCAGCGTGCAGCTCAGCCAGGATCTCATGGTAGAACTTGTAGAAGAAGCCGAGCGCGAGAGACTTCCTGTATGTCGCCATACCACCTGGGACACCAAACCGCAGATCGAAGTCTTCTTCGAGCTTGTCCATGACGCCCTCCAGTGTTGGAAGATCAGAGAACTTCTTCCCTTGGAGGAAGTCCATTGCTTTGCGCGCGTGAATTGTCGTAGGTGCCATGCCACCGTAAACCAGATCCACACTCTCGACTGTGTGCTGATCGTCCAGTGATATCCTCAAAGCGGCATTCACAATAGCAATGTCGTCATCTTTCCTCTTTGCCTGCTTGTACGCGCGGATGTACTCGCCCTTCTCTTTCGCAACCGGGATCTTCAACCCCGCGATGATGGCATCCGGAGGAAGTGCAGTCTGCCTATATCCCTTGAAGAAAGTGGACATGGGAATTTCCGTCGTCTCCTTGAGGCTCTTTGCTATGAGCGTCGCATTCGTCGCAACAAACACCGGATTCAGATCGGAGATAGGACTCGCTGTTGCAAGGTTACCAGCGGGTGTACCCACATTCCTAATCTGTCGTCCAGCGAAATACCGTATTTGCTTGAGAATGGTAGCAAATGGCTGGCCCCGTACCGGTCCGTAATGCTCGAGAGCGTCTTTGCAAATCTCCTCCAGATCCGTGAGAACAACGTTTCCGCCGATTTCGAGATGATCGTCGTGGAGCTTGAACTGTCGTAGTTCCGCAATGTCGCCGACAAAGACTGAAGCGTTGTAGTTCATGCCCTTGAACTTGATCTCGATTTGTGTTTCAGTCGAGCCACCGATAAGCTTTGCGGAGGGATAAACGTCCTTAATCTCCAGTAACTGTTGCAGAGTCGTTGGTCGGAACCACCTCTTCTTCTTGTTACCGAATGCCAATGGCTTGAACTCGTGTTTCCGTAGCTGTGGGGGAAAGATCAACTCTGTGTCTGGCTTGTACTCGATGAACCCAGGTGGTGCGAATCGCTTAATCGGTTGGTCGTCATCAATGTTCTTGCCGCAACCTCCGCCATTCGCACCGTCCTTGTCCATACAGCATCCGCCTCCACCATTGGCCTTTGCTTTCGCGCAGCCCGATTTCACGCTGAAGCTCTGCGCCGCGTCTAATATCGGCCTATATCCTGTACACCGACAGAGGTTACCATCAAAGGCTTCCTCAACTTCGAGCTCGCTAGGTCCGACGTTGTTGCGGAGGAGAGCATACAATGACATAACGATGCCCGGTGTACAGAAACCGCATTGACTGCCATTGCCCTTTGCTATCCTCTCCTGTGCAGGATGTGGCCGCTTTACGTTGCCAATTCCTTCCACTGTTATAACGTGTTTGCCGTCTACGCTGACGAGGGGTGCGAGGCATGCGTTTACGGAGGCGTGATAGATCTTGTTCGTTGTGGGATTGAATTGCGATATAACCTAGCAATTTGTCAGTCTCTCGCCCTTGATTTCTGGACCAATGTCTCCGATAGTCCCAGAACCAGAGTGCACTGTCTTTTAGTTTTGGACCCATTATCCTCCACCACAACCACGAGTCAAAGTAAAGTAGCAAACATACCACAGTACAAGCACCACACCCACCCTCCGCACACCCCAACTTCGTCCCCGTCAACCCAATCCCCCTCAAGTACTCCAACAGCGTAACTTCAGGATCCGCACTATCCAACACCACCTTGGTGCCATTCAGGTAAAACCGGAGCGTATCATCGTAATCGGCCGTAACTTCGTTCAGCGACTTGGTCGCGTCGCTTGACACGGCTGGTTGTGGGGATATGAGACCAGGCGCCATGTTTGCCACCCGCGGTGCTGTTGGTAATCAAAGAAGAAAGAGAGACGTAGAAGACACAAACACAGGCGAGAGGAATGGGGAAAAGAGAGAGGGAAGGCAAGAATGTCACGAAAGGTATCACAAGCTTGATCCTCTAGCTGTTCAGGGTCCTGTCCGTCGGGCTTGTGGGGAATAAGCAAACTAGATATGACAAGCGTGTGTACCGCGGCGGCAGGAGGGATTGCAGCCGCGTAGAGCAGTCATTACATGAGTTAGTTGAGTTAGTTAGTGGTGTGAACGAATCAGCATCGACGTGTTTGTCCCTTATCTTCGTACGCGGTCTAGGGTGAGTAGCTTGCAGAGGCTCCGCGTGCAGGAGCTCGCCGATGGCCGTAGTTCGCGTTCTTGCCCCTCCATAGCCCCACCCCACGCCGCACGTGAGCTGTCAGGTCGCTTCCCGCCTACTGCCTAGGATGGCGAGGTCCGCTGTTGTCGGAAAGGAAGGAGGGTGCCGATAGATACAAGGGAGACAGTTTTTACTGAGTTGAATTGAGGTGAAGTGTGATGCATGGACCTGGGTAAGTCCTACGGTGACATATGTCAGTGCGAAAGACACAGGAGACCTCTGTAGTAAGCTTTAGAATTTGGAGATACAGCGCGTATGAACCAAGTTCCCAGTGCACCTGGCTGCGCTGTACCGTTGTGAGTATCACGAGTGCACATCATACAGAGTATCACGATAGAAGAAACATGCATGAAGGAATTAATTTTGTGTATTGAGTCACAGCATCTAAAAGCCATGATTCGGAAAAGCTACTATACAAACGATGATCTCCGAGTGCGACGTCCATTAACGCGACTATTTAACCCCAAACGTCACTGCAAACCAAGGCAGATGCAGGTCCAGATTTGTGTGTTGCGCGAAAATACAGGCATGAAGAACAAAGTGACGCTTTTTGGTGGTAAAAAAGTCTTCAAGAGGAAGATTCGAAGACCAACGTCGATCGATGACGGAGGTCTATACCAATTGCACGCCCGTGATAGACATGCAAACAAAGACATGGGAGTCGGGCCTGGCAGACCAGAACATGCCTTGCTGATCAAGATGTAGCAGGGGTAAATGAGAACAAACAGCTGTCGACTTGTTGCGCGGACGTGAGGGTTTGCAGAAAGATCATCCTTGAAGAGAGCATAGTCGAAGCGATGATCAGCTCACACAATGCAGGCGACAGCGATGACAAGAGTGAAGCCGTGAAAACAAGCCAAAGGCTATGATGTCGGTGACAGCCCAGGCTGAAGAGGAGGCTCTTTTGACGGATGAGCACTCAGCGCATAGTAATGCATGCAACAAGGCGAGGCCGGCTACGCGCAAGTCAAGAAAAAGATTTCGAAGATAGTCCAGGTCATCGGGTGGATATCATGCCAGGCGCAGCAAAGTTCCAAGCAATTGGATCATGCAAACAGGGCAGCATTCGGCGAAGTTCAGCAAAATGTGCATCGGTCACGGCAACTAAGCGACGCTTATGCGCCGGGAGGTCCTTGGGCTCCTTGACCGCCCTGTTGTTGCTGGGCGATGGACGCATACCACATTGCAAGGTAGTTTTGGTAGCCGCCATAGACAGCGTATGGGTCAGCAGAAGCAGCACCATTTGCATCGGGTGCAGCTGCTTGAGGAGGCTGCGCGGCCGCGGCGGGTTGTCCATATGAAGGTGTCTGCTGGTGTGAGTATCCATTGTCGTTATTTCCGTTGTCACGTCGTCGTGAGTTGTTCTTCTCTCGCTGCGTCGTATTAGCATCCGTGCAGATCTGTCACACAGCAAACAAACTTACCACTTGGTCGACCTTTTCCCAGATAGCTCGCTTAGCATCATCAATGGCTTGACGGGTTCCGACAAGACCAATCTCGCGCTCAATGTCGGCACCGGAAGCTTGCGATACGTTGATCTTGCAACCGGTCTCTGATTGCATGGACTTGATAGTTTCACCACCTATGAATCGTTAATACGACAAACACAACATATTCAGAGCGATATTACCTTTGCCAATGATCATGCCAACAGCATCAGAGGGAACATGAATACTATCATTGATCTTGCCAGCTCCAGCACCTCCAGCAGCACCTCCACCGTAGGGATCAAAGTTATCACGCCTGGTGAATGCTTGCTGCGGCGGCGCGGCGGCACCGCCACCTTCCATTTGCTTAGTGTCACTGTCGACAATCTCCATGATGAGCTCCTTGGCATGTGCGGCAGCAGTGGGACTTCCGATGAGGTTCACAGGTCGCAAACCATTCACGCTCTTGTTTTCACCGACAATGTTGACGTGGCAGCCACTGCGCTCTTGCAGATCACGGATAGTCTCACCGCCACGGCCGATGATGAGACCAACAGTACGATCAGGCACCATGATTTGCGACGACTGTTCACCCTCACGAAGAGCGGGCTGTTGTTGGCCAACCATCTTAGCGGCGGGTCGGGCATTGCGGCCAGTCTCACGAGCAGGATTGCCGCCATTTTCTTCGATGATGCGGTTGATCTCGCGTTTAGCACTGATACGAGCACCCGGGCTACCGGTTATACGACACTCGCGCTGAGGTCCAGCCTCGGGGCCGTTGATGAATTGAATGCGTGTTTGAGATTCTTGTTCAATGCGGCGGAGACTCTCACCTTGACGTCCAATGACAAGGCCAACCAACGAAGAGTCAATGAGAATCACCTCAGAGTTGTCATTAGCAGGGGGCGAACGTGCTTGCCCGTACTGCTGCGAAGGAGAGAAGGTGTCACGCCTAGGAGGAGAGCGATCACGTTCACGTCCATAGCCACCTCGGCGCTCATCACGACGCTCATCGCGGTATGGGTTGTAGCTTTCACGCACGGGTTCTCGGCGCGCTGGAGACCGCGAGCGCGACCGAGAACGTCGGTAGGGCTGGCGTCCGCTTAGTCGCGGGTCTTCTTGATAAGCTGGAGCTGTGTAAGTTTGCGCTGGGACACCATAACCAGACCAAGACTCAGGTATACCTGGACGCGCTTCGTGTGCAAGGCCCTTCTGAGCCGCAAAGCCACGCGCCTTGGCCAGCGCATCCTGGATGCTGACTGAGCCGGAGCTTACGGGCTTGATAGCGCTGAGATCAAGACTTCCAGAGTGTGTGGGAGGAGGGAAGTTGTATCCGGGCATGGCGGGCGGGGTGGCAGTTGGCATTGCGCCTGGGAAGCCTGGGGGAAGGCCTTGGGGAGGGGCATGTTGCGCCTGGGGAGGCTGCTGGGGCGTCTGCGATGGGGTAGTCGAGGGACGTCCAGCAGCTACAAGGGCAGTCAGTACAAACGTCGCGAGTGTGGTGAAAGTGTGAGCGACCTACCGAGCGCCGCCAGGATGGCGTTGAGATCGGGGGGAGCGGCCATCGGAAATGCGCGCGACCAGGTGGTTAGTTTCAAAGATGAATTGGGACAGCCGTGTTGATGAGCGACAAGAAAGTGAGTAGGGCGCCGTTGAGTCGAGTGCGCGGGTGGTGTGTGTCGTGTGCAGAGATCTTTGTCGCGGCGAAGAAGGAAAGAGGAGTCGGGCGCAGCTTTCGTACGCACAGGCCACTAGCGTGGTATTAGCCGAGCCGTGGCTGGTTCCAAGGTTCTCTCTCTCACTAAAAGAACGTGTTGCCTTTATGGCACAGAATGCTTCTTGACTTCCAAGGTTCACGAGTCAGAGTACACGTGCTTTGCGATTCTGATATAAATTACGTCAATATTGGCTATGATGTGACACGCGCCCGCAACCTGATCGCGCCCAAGGAAAATGACGATGAAGAACAACAAAAAGATCTAGTACAGTCCCAAGTGCGCGCGCTGATATACAAAATGAAGACGGGTATAACATCTATGACACCATCCACCAGGCGCCGACGACAATGGAAACCAACACGAGGATAGTCAGGATGCTAGCACCGGCCTTGTCGCCAGTGGTCACGACATCAAACTTGATGGGATCATCACTCTTATCGTCGTTGCCAGCATCGGGGTTGCTCTTGGAGATACCACCCTTCTCGGCAGTCGCAGGACCGCTGGTAGACGGGTAGAGCAGCGCCTGTACGACTTCCATGGCCGCCATCTGCTCACCAACACCGAAGCTGCCGTCGTTCACTCCATTTGTGGTCCACTTGAGCCCACAGGAAGTCTGTTGATCACCTCCGTTGCACTGCTTCGCCGCGGCCTGAGCGGATGCCTGGAGGTAAGGGTCAATCTGTTCGCGGGTCCAAGGTGCGACACTGGCTGTGTATGCCATGGAACGTGCAAGATAGGCCTTGAAGGAACGCTGGTCTACGTCACACTTGCCGTTGTTCTCGCAGGCGACTTCAGACATGACCTTGTCCTTGAAGAAAACGTCGATACCGTCAATGACACCCTGGACACGCGTCTTCCACTTTTCGTCCTGTGACACGTTCCACATGGCAGCAGCACCGGCCATGTGAATGCCAGCATTGTACGTCCACTGGATATGGTTGATGGTTGAGCAATTCTGCGTGTCGTCCGTTCCATCGTAGTAGTGGTAGTCCGGGCTCATAAGTCCTACCGAAAGTTCCCACTCCCAAGCCTTCTCAGCCCAGTCAGCGTAGGTTTGGTTACCGAGGTATTTGTAAAGTCGCGAGGCGATGTTGAAGAAACAACCGTTCGAAATGGTGTTCTTGTAGTTGTAACCTTGGTTGAAGCTGAAGATCTGCCACCTCAAACCACCACCGCAAGTCGACAAGTCCCAACGCTTGTATTGGGTGTTGAAGACGGCTTGTGCAAGCGACAGCCAAGAAGGCTTGCCATCGGGAAGATCAGGAAACTTGTTCTCTGCAGCCGTCATGGCGGCCATGCCCCAGAAAGCTTGGTCATCGTTTCCGAGCGTCTTGGTCTGGTTATCAGGCATGTAGTTGGCGTTCACTCCGATCTGGGCTTCTAGAGCCTGGGTGGTGATTTTGTTATACTGGTCATCACCGGTGTAGTACCAGTAGTCAACGAAGGCATTGAACATGGCGCCACATTCCCACCAGTAGTATGGATCTGGGAGATTGCCTGGTGTGTCGCCTGGGTTGTCACCGGTGTAGTACTTGCGCAAGTTCGCGGAGAGTGACTTGGCGGTCTGCTTGATGGAGTCTGTACATGTCAGTACGTATGCTTGCTGGCGTCGGACTTGAGGAAGTCGCACCTGGGGAGCTAATATCCAGGTCGACCGCGCCCACACTTGCGAACAGCAGGTTCGAGGCGCCAAGGGCGCCGAGGGCAGAGGTGAGCTTCATGTTGGGTCGGGTCTAGTCGGCAGTTGCAGCCAGGGTCCAGCGCCAGGCTTGGAGACACTGCGCAGTGTCGCGAAAGGAGTAGTGTTGAAATGATCAAGCTTTCAGGCCAGCAGGCGGCTTGGCTCTGACGTGGGGTATCGTAGAGAGTGTCGGGTTGATTGACGGGTGGTATGAAAGGAGCGACGGGGATCAGGGGCGCGTACGGCACGGCGGTTGACACGGGATTAGAGGTGTCTATCGATTAGGAAGCGGTGCAGCGAGTGTGTTCGAAGAGAAGGGAACGGGAAACAGGAAGCTGGCGGTGGAGCAAGCGTTGCGCGAACTCCTGAGCGGCGAATGGGTAGCAGACACCGAGACTCAAGACATTGGACACGCGTCTTGGCGGCGATCAGACCCACTTGCCAGGTACGAACGGCGCCTGGCCTGCGTGAGGCCTGGGGATGCCTCTCGCCCTGATAGGCTAGGGACGCAGGCACACTCTATTGACGACAATGCACGATGCTTCTGCTGCATAATGTGTCTCGTTGACGAAGACGCCTGTCGCTTCTGTTTGCTGCGCAGAGACGCGGCGATGCGGGCGTCTGGCTGGGCGGCGACGACAGTGATGACGAAGCGCCAACTACACACTACGTTTAGTGTAATTGTCTTGTCAAAATCCGGTCCGTCTTTGTTCTCGTCGCAGGTCGTATTGCCGTGTTGCCACGCCGCAGCTGCGGACGGAAGTCTGGTAAGCAGTAAGATTGGCCTCGTAACAGCGAGGCTGAGATGACGGACCCGTCTTTACTTTCAAAGGCCATCGTCGACGGGCTGAGGACAGGCGGAATTTATCTTGTGAAGTTTTCGAGCATGTAGACGGACCGATGACGGATCGTGCAGCACCTGTTGCCTCATAGGCAAAGTGTCGTAATGGCGAGGCTGGTGTTCATCACGTGCAGTGGCGCAGGCTGGGCAGCCCAGATCCAGATGGGGGCCGGAAGCAGGCACGGCAGCGATCGCAACAACTTGAATAGAATACCGTCATAACCGTTGGAACATCAAATCCGCTGTTGACTCGATTGTGCACACTGCGCAGACATATTGGCATTCACAGATTAAAATTCCGTGTTGTTGCGCCAGGTTTCACGCAAACATCAGCCTCACTGCTCAAACGGAGCTGACACATTGCGCTCGTTCGCCATCCGGGCTGAGCGGACTCTTGGTCTTCCTCTGGGCAACCACACCACCATCTCCATCCTCCAGACACCACCTCACCACCCACACCGATCCATCACCACCACCTCTTGAAGCCTACGCAAGTCGCACGTTACCCGGAATTTCCAGCACACTCCATCTCCAACCATGTCGAGCCGCGAAGAGCCCCCGTATGATCCCTACATCCCCAGCGGCGGCGCCGGTGGCCAGCAGGGCGGACAGGGCCAGAATGGCAACCACCGCACAGCTGCGCTCCAAGCGGTATGTTGTCCTTTTTCTTCTACGTAAGGGTTCGAGCGCTGTATCGTTTGTCGCATCCTCGCAAGGCACCTATGGTCGAGCCGCAGTGGCCGGCAGAGAGCTTGCGTCAGCGATGCGATAATGACTACACTGCTTCACACCCTCGTTGCAACTTTCCACTCGCTTTGCGCACATGTGCGAACATACATGCATGCGCAGAGGAGCGGTTCAAAGAAGCTTAAAATCATGTGTGAGCTCGTGCTGACTCGTATGCCAGGAAATCGACAGCACCGTTGGTATCATGCGGGACAACATCAACAAGGTCTCAGAGCGAGGAGCCCGTCTAGACTCGCTACAGGACAAGACCGATAACCTCGCCGTGTCCGCCCAGGGCTTCCGAAGGGGCGCCAACCGTGTGCGCAAGCAGATGTGGTGGAAGGACATGAAGATGCGCATGTGCCTCATTGTGGGCATCATCATCCTGCTCATCGTCATTATCGTTCCTTCTGGTAAGCCGTCCCTCGTAGATAACTATTAGCTTCCTATGGCTAACACACACACAGTCGTTGCCACGCAAAAGAACTAAACCACACCCACGAGATACCACGAACCAGTACATTAATAATAGCGCGGATGGGGGAGGTTGCACAGCCATTGGGGGACGGAGGAGAATGGCTACGAGTTGCACTACGATCAACGACAGCGGTCTCACTGTAGGATGTGTGTCACGGCGAACACGGAGCGATGGATCAGATCTGTTTCTTGTCTTTCTTTGCATTCAGACGGTCGTGCTGTGCTGCACTCACGGATAAGCTCCTTTGCATGGAACGAACTCCGCCACCGCTACGAATATCCAACGAGAGCCCAGTTCCCCAGCATGGTCGTCAGACGAGCAAATGGAGTTTTATGCATTGTGAGTTGCTGTCTTGCATGTCTATAGTCAATTTATATCTTATGCCTTGATTGTGTACTGCTGCGTGAAAGAATGTAGGAGTGAATAGGGAGGTGGTTCATAATTTGAGAACAACCTGAAAGAGCTGCTACTTAAGCACCGTCCTTTTGACAATGGGTACAAACAGGGACTAGACTGATCACGCAGTATACTCGGTAAAGAGTGTTCCAACAACACTCTGTACAACGAGCACCGTCATCATATCCTATTCTTGAGCGGGGTGACTGCGGCAACCGCCGTACCACCCGACTAGATACGCCATTAGCTCATGGGGCTGAGGACGTTCTCGATGAACACCAGCAATATATACCAAATACATCAGATCTTTCCAGGGATGGTCGGATAGATTAAAGTCTGTGGCACTGGCCTGCTGACATTTAAAGTCGGCCTTCAGTAAACTATTAACAATTGTATCAGGCCAACCACACACACACGGCTATGTCGGTAGGCGATCTCCTTGCTATAGGCCGACTGAGCTCCGATCCGGCATTTCCATGCCGAGTTCACCGTCACGCTGCTTTGCGACGTCCTTGTTCAAGAGCAATATGCGTAAGGCGCTCTACACTATAATTCTCGAGGTTGAACTCATGTACGCCACTATGCGCCGCGTGAAAACAAACGCACTCCCTTAAACAATATTTAAAGCCCGTCAGATGGTATTTGAGCAGTTCACTCTCACGTCCTTGTGTCATCTTCCCGTACCTTTGGCTACTCTTCCAACTCCTCGCCTCCCCACGCGTGAAGCACATCTCCGTCTTTCCGATTTAGACGTAGACTCCACAGGAACAATCAGTCCTGTGCACACAACAAGGTAACGCAACTCGACTTACCTCCAATGGCGAACTGTACAAGCGGTCTCAGCCTTGCACGAGAAGGCCAATCGAATTGCGACAACGTCCAGGGAACATGTGCATACGCTCTCTGCTCCGATCCCTTTAACTCGGCACAATGTTACGGTCTAGACGCTCGTCTCGGTCTACAAACCAACTACCCGTCTTACTCCTACAACTGCTACACCAACTGTCCTGTGGCATGGGATCCTGAATATCCTCTTGCGCAGGGAAACACTGCATTGTAAGCTCTGCTATTCAACTACATACCCTAATTAAATTAAAAGCATCTAAGCAGCATCTGTTCGCAGGCTTTCAAAGTTGAGAAACGCATTAACAAGACGAACAGTTGTTGCGACGACCCTGGTATGGTGGTGGTGTGTCGACCCAACTGTACCTGTACCGATGTCGACGACGTCGCCCCGTCATCGCCACCGATTTCGTCACTAGCGCCCTCTACGTCACCGGCGAGCTCCTCGGTGGCCGACTCGACTACGATGCCTACGACTGATGTCCTGACGACTGGAACAGACACGGCTTTGCCTTCTAGTACGGGTCCCTCTGCGGGCTCCAAAGCAGGCGTAGGTGTAGGTGCAGGTGTAGGTGTGGTCCTGGGAGTAGCGGCGCTTTTGGGTTTGGGTCTTGCGTAGACGATGCTGATGCGCAGGAGACACGTTCTAGGGTTTGCTGACAGGAGTAACCAACAATACATAACCAATACATTGAAAATCTCAGCAGATGGTTGGAGAGATAGAAGTCTGTGGCGTCCGCATGCTGACAGGCTTTCGACTTTAGCACGAGGCTGAGACAGCCACGTAGGGCCGTGTCGATAGGCAACCCTATTGCTATAGGCCGATTGATTTGAACCGGCATCTCTATCCCGTGTTCACCGTCATACTGCTTTTTGACCACCTCGTTTAAGACTGATCTGCGTAAGGCGCTCTACACAACACTGCCCAAGGCTGATCTTATGTACGCCAGAGCCTGCAAGATAGTCTTCGCGCAGTACACTCCCACTTTATTCTTCTGTTTTCCTTCAGCCTGCGTGCAAAGGATATCGCAAACCGACTTGCTGCGATGGCAAATTGTGTAACCGGCCTTACGTTCATAGGAGAAGGCAAAGCGAACTGCGCGAACGTCAAAGAATTATGTGCATACGCTACCTGCACAGATTCCAAGGACAGCCAATGTTATGGTATAGACGGTAATCTCAATCTACCTGCTGGTTTCCTGAAGTATGGCTGGGTTTGCGAAACCAATTGTCCTTTGGCGTTCCAGAATTGGTATCCTACTGATCATGGAAATAATCAAATGTAAGCTCTGTCATTCGGTTACCCATCCTGATCAAAGACACATAGGCAGCGTATGATCGCATACGTCCGAGGCGAGATCTCACTAATAAGACAAATAGGTGCTGCGATCAGCCAGGAAAGGTAGTAGCGTGTGGTTCTCAGGGCTGCTTCTGCTACGATATAGAGCAGCTTGCCCCATCATTGTCAATTCCGCCGCCAACACCTTCCACATCGTCGACCACCCCATCAACTCAATCCCCTTCACCAACGAACTCCTCGGTGACCGACATGACCTCGACACCCGAACCCAGTATCCCTCCAGCAGCAGCAAACACAGCCTCACCTTCTAATAGTGCAGGCGGTCTCTCCACAGGCGCCAAAGCAGGCATAGGAGTGGGTGCAGTTTTAGGAGCTGTAGCACTTTTCGGTCTTGCCTTGTGGCTCGGTTGGATCTTGCGCAAGCGACGACAAAGTCCATCCCAGGACCTGCCAACAGGAGATACCGAAGCGAAATATAACACCCGTAGTATGTGGGAGTCTAGTCAAGGGGCGTATAGAGGTCCAGGCGAGCTTCCTGGAACGACGAGTAATTATGAGCTGGACGGTAGGCAGATACCTGCGGAGGCTGGCCACTGAAGTGGATGTAGTTTAGTGGTGTGTCTGGATGTCATGCTTTGGTTACTGTTCCGGTAGTGGTAGCGGATTCTGGATCCGTAGTGAGTAGTGTATGTATCGATGTGGTTTAAGCGCTCCATTGTCTATTGGAGATACCTGGAGGGTTGCTGTATTTCGGGACCAACAGGACCATAACGTAACTTCGCGTGGTTGACAGCTGAGCACAATGCGACCTTACCCGTTTAGGACTAGGCATATGGCTATCCAGTGTCACTACCACAATCTGTGGTATTTCGCATGATACAATAGATTCAAGTAAGGGAACAATGCATCTAGTGGACCTTAGCCTAATCCTTCTCGTGAACCTAGTGCTAGGTCCTCACATGCTGCTAGTGTCCACAGTGCTGTGGGTTGGGCGGCGCAGGATGGGCAAGCTGGGAAAGGGCCTTTTGTCTTGTCGAGAAAATTTGCCTCAACAGCAGCTCGAAGCGCGCAGGCATGCAGGAATGATGCCTGAAAAGTCTGATCTGCGGCTGCCGTTCTCCATGCGTACAAACTTAGGTAGCTGTCTCCGGCGGCGCTAGGGAAAGTTCCCTGTGGTCTGGGGAAGCAGCGATAACGGCGCAGCGAAATTTGTTGCTTCCGCGTCATATCTCGAGACCCATTTGGTCCCTCACGGCTCCACAGTCTAGTCACCGCAGCAATTCGCGTTGGATTAAGTCGCCCAGGGCCCGAGCAGCGACTGCGACTGCTTCTGCTTCTTGGGAGCGACACTCACCATGCAGAGCTTTGTACGAGCCGGCCGTGTGGCTGCCCGATCCTCCTCCCGCGTCCTCGCCAGCCAGACGCCGCGAGCCCTCCCGCGAGCACTCGTCGCTAGCACGACTCCGAGCCGCCTATACACCACCTCTAAGGATGGAAGGAACTCGTCCATCTACGCCGCCTTCCTCAACCTGCTGGCCAGTTCCAGCTCCCGCCGCGAAGTCGACCAGTACCTCGGCCAGTTCCGCTCCGTCTCGCCGCACCAGTTCGCTGTCGTCAAGGTCGGAGGCGCCATCCTGACCGACCACCTCGAGGAGCTATGCTTTGCCCTCCAGCAGCTGCACGCCATCGGCCTGTACCCCATCATCGTCCATGGCGCTGGCCCGCAGATGAACCAGCTGCTGCTCGACTCGGGTGTCGAGCCCGACTTCATTGACGGCATACGCGTAACGGACAAGAAGACGCTGGGCATTGCGCGCAAGCTGTTCCTCGAGGCAAACATGGACCTGGTCATGACGCTGAAGAGGGATTGGGGCGTGCCCGCGCGGCCCATCACCGCGGGTGCTCTGCAAGCCGACTACCTGGACAAGGAGAAGTGGAAGTACGTCGGAAACATCACCACCGTCAACAAGAGGCAGATCATGGATGCGCTGGAGAACAAGGAACTGCCCATCCTGTGCTCCATGGGCGAGACGCTCGACGGCCAGATCCTCAACATCAACGCCGACGTGGCTGCCGCAGCTCTGGCGCGCGAGTTCCAGCCCCTCAAGGTCATCTACCTCTCTGAGAAGGGAGGACTCTTCAACGCCGAGTCCAAGCTCATCCCCCACATCAACCTGGAGGGCGAGTACGACACCTACATGAAGCAATCGTGGGTTAGATACGGCACGAAGCTTAAGATAGTGGAGGCCAAGAAGCTCCTGGACGGTCTCCCGCGCACGTCGAGTGTAGCCATCACCCACCCCTCGAACCTCGGAAAAGAGCTGTTCACCCATACCGGAAGCGGCACTCTTATCCGCAACGGCGGCAGTGTGAAGGAGACCAGCAAGTTCGAGGATTTGGACGTCCCTGCTCTGCAAGAGGCTATCACCAAGAGCAAAGCCGCCGACGCTGCCGATGCGGTCAACAGATATATCCAGAACCTCAAGACGCGACCATTTGAGGTCTTCCATGATGATTCCATGGGCGTCGTTGCCGTCGTTTACCCACCGACTGCCGACGGTGAGTTCGCACAGCTTTCGCACTTCAGCATGACCAAGGATGCCTTCCTGAACAACCTGAACGACTTGGTCTTCCAGCGCATGAAGCAAAAGTACCCCAAGATGTACTGGATTGTAGACGACCAGTCGCAAAACTACGTCAAATGGCACCTGGAGAAGACGGATGGCTTCCTCCGCCGCGAGAAGGAAGTCTTCTGCTGGTGGGGCGCGGCTGAGTCTTCCGAGATCTTCTCGCTCCTCGAGAACTACCAGAAGCAGGGTCGCAGCATGCTCAAGGACAGCTTAGATGCTCAGTTCCGACGGGCGGCCGACTTTGTTGCCAGTCTGAAGCAGGGCCAGCAGACGCGGGGCTACGCGACCGTTGCTGGCCAATCTGCAAGGCCTCAACTTAGACAGAACAGGACTCTTCCTGCGTCGTCCCGAGGCTTCGCTACCACTGCATCGCGCTCAATGGATACCACTAACCCCAACCCGCCATACGGTATCAAGCACAAGCACAGGGACTACCCTGCCAAGGTTGCACTGATTGGTGCGCGAGGCTACACAGGGCAAGCTCTTATCGAGCTGCTTAACAAGCACCCCAACATGGACCTGCGGCATGTATCATCACGTGAACTTAACGGCAAGAAGCTTGAAGGCTACTCCAAGCGACAGATCACTTACGAGAACCTGTCACCCGAGGATGTAAAGAAGATGGCCGAGAACGGCGAAGTCGACTGCTGGGTCATGGCCCTGCCCAACGGTGTGTGCAAGCCCTTCGTCGATGCCATCAACGAGAGCGGCAAGGAAACTCTCATTGTCGATCTGAGTGCCGACTACCGTTTCGACGAGAGCTGGACCTACGGACTACCAGAGACCGTTGACCGCGCCAAGATCTCCGACGCTACACGCATCGCCAACCCTGGATGCTACGCCACAGCTGCTCAACTCGGCATTGCGCCTCTGCTTGAGTTCATCGGCGGTCAACCGACCGTCTTCGGTGTCTCAGGCTACTCCGGAGCCGGCACCAAGCCCAGCCCCAAGAACGACGTCAAGAACCTCGAAAACAACCTCATCCCCTACAGCTTGACAGACCACATCCACGAGAAGGAAATCTCACGGCAGCTAGGCACTGAGGTTGCTTTCATCCCCCACGTTGCAGTCTGGTTCCAGGGTATTCACGTAAGTTCACCCTTCCTTCCCATTTTAAAAAGGTCTTGATCACGTTACTAACATTTCAAAACAGCACACCATCTCCATCCCCCTCAACCGCACAATGACATCCCGTGACATCCGCAACCTCTACCAGGACCGCTACGCCGGCGAGAAGCTCGTCAAGATTGTCGGCGAGTCCCCGCTCGTCAAGAACATCTCTGGCAAGCACGGCGTCGAAATCGGCGGTTTCGCCGTTCACAGCTCAGGCAAGCGCGTCGTCGTTAACGCTACGATTGATAACTTGCTCAAGGGCGCTGCGACGCAGTGCTTGCAGAACATGAATTTGGCGTTGGGCTACGGTGAGTATGATGGTATTCCGTACTAGGTGCATGGACGTCTTAAGGAATGGGAGTGGGCGGATGGGTGTTGGTGGATTGGATTGGAGGGTTGAGGGATTGGTGGATTTGGGGCATTGGTAGGAATGAGGAACAGCATCATGGTTTCTTAACATGGAAAATAAGGAACTATTGGCGCATTTCGTACGTGTGTGTATACGCTAGACAGGACTTCTTTTTAAGAGAGTTGAGAACTTGTAGATATATCCAATTGCAGAGCGTGTGTTCAAAAGTGGGCTTTTTTTCTTCTTGACTTTGTCTGTTCGCCCGCAAGTTTGGGTACTAGACATCCCAGTCTTTCGTCAACTAAACGCAATCTCACCTTGAGAAAGACGCATTGTTTGGCCGCCTACGGGGTCGTATGTAAGGTGTAGGGTAAGTCGTCATGTTCATGTTTGGTCTCGAGGAAAAGAGTTCATCATGGTTTTGCATGGGAGACTTAGGGGGAAAGGCCTTGGCATACGCCCTACCACTTACTCTCAGGCAGTCTCATCACAGCGATATCATTCAGATGTCACGATAAGAGATAATTCTAAGATACGAGTCAAAAGGTGTTGAGCATGCTCTTGTATTACTAGGAGACCTGTTCAAAAGGACATATCATCCACATGTGTTCGGGGCTGGAAGCAGATGGGCCAGCGACGACAAGGTCCACATGCAGGCACACCCAAACCCTCATGCATCCAACGAATACCGCCTCCTCACTGGTCTCGTAGACTCGAACGCCCCTCACCTACATTGTTGGACGCTCAAATTGACTTCGACACTAGACACACCTCCACCCCAATCCGGAAGTGTGCAAAAGTGCACTAAGGCCATACAGGTCGTGCGAATCCCTGTCTTTTCGAATAAATCGAGTCTCTCCAAACATTTTGCGAGCAGGTGGGGGGATGATTGCTCTAGAAGAGCAAGCAAGCGAGGGGGCGTAGTGGTGGAAGCCAGAGCCCGGGGGGTGTCAGGCGGGAGAAGGCTTGGCGGCCCGCACTGTATATACTCGCACCGCCCACTACCCACTTCCGGCCCTCTTCCTGCCTCTTCCTCCCCACTACCCCTCTCCGCATAACCCTCCCATAACATCTCTTCTTGGTCGAGGAAGCAACTTGGAGGTCTTGAGAAGGCTTTGCACATCGCTTTGAACTCTCTTCTCGCTTTTCCCACAACACTGGCTGCATCGAGGCATCACCATGCCGTCGTCGCCGTCGCCAGCACAACAGTCCGCTCGCCAGGCACCAGCCATGCCAGGTCAGAAGCAAGAAGGGAACGAGTATCGTCAGACGACATACCACAATGGACGCAATATCCAGATCGAGGAATCTCGTCGTCGCTCCTGGGCAGTCCGCAAGATCGACTCTCCAGTCCAGGCATATACCGACTTCGTCTTGTACCCCATTGAGAACGAGCATACATATCCTCAAAGCCGTCTTCAGCAGGTCGAGCAATCTCACCCCGCACCGAGAGGTTTGGCCGTAGGACCCGGTGAGAGACACGTGACACACGTGACTTCTGCCAAGCACACGTCGAAAGGAGGATCGAAGCCAGTGGTCCTTCATGGCTCGGCAAAGTCGAGCCAGAACTTGCCGTTAGAGTCGAAGGGGGCTTTACACTCCTCAGCGGAGCTAACGCCTCCTCCCACACCTAGGCTAGGCCGGTTGCCGACGCCTGATCTGGATGAACTGGACGAGGAAGCACGCTTTTGCGATTGTGGCGGAGAATCGTATGTTACTAAGCGTTGTGCTGGATGTGGCTTGGAGGTCAATTACTGGTCGACATGATCTCCTACTTGACGAGGTTTTCCGGTCTCTCCTTTTCGTGATGGTCGCCTTGGGTCTGGTATTACGGTTCTTTGCTTTAACCCGTTCTCTTATCTCTGAAGCTGATTTGTGTGTGCCGACGAAGGCCCACATGCCGCGAGCGAGCACTGCTAGTTCTCCATGCTCACGCAGCCGTCGTTACTTTCTCGACGTCTTTTCTTACGACTGCGGTGGCGTTTGGCGTTTGGTTTCCTTTGGCAAGGAATGTTGTTGTTATCCGACTCTTCGCCACACTCCATGCATAGCAATGACAATGCTACCCCAAACTGATTGCTCCTGACCTAAACGTCTAGAATAGTCTAGGACGAGAAGATCATTCCTGCGGCCGTTCGCTCTCTACGACAAAGTATTTGCCAGACTTCCGTTCCGCTGAGCCCAGAACATCCCAATCCTCCACATCTCTCGCATCCACAGGCGTAGGATCTCGTTGTAGCCGCTTGTGATGCTGTCCTATAACCTTCTCTTTATCCAAAGCATCCCTTAGCGTCTCCAACGTAATCGTCTGCTCTTCTTCTGCAGCCATCGTTTCGTCCCGTATAGCCCGCAACGGCTTCACACCTGTTGTATCCACTTCCTGGATCTTGCCCACAAAGTGTAATTGCGCTGCTAGTGTGTCTAGCATCTTCTGCTCTTGTTCGGCCGTTTCGGGTGGCGGGAGGGCTGATAGGCGGAGGAGATGATGTAGTTGTTGAGAGGTAATCTGGGGGGCGTCGGGAGCGCGCGTCTTTGGTGGTAGTAGAGACTCGACGGACCAGGTGGGCTTTGCTAGAAGCTCTTCGAGTTCGTCGGGATGGATGCCTATCTTCTTCGGTGCCGGCTTTTCCTCATTCCACAGATCCTCGTATCTTCGTACATGTGATGGCATGTATGAGCGTATTTGCAGGTATTGTAAAGGCTTGCAAAACGTCGTGAACGCAAACGCGCGACGTGCCGCCATGATGGATGTGATGCGCGAGGCGGGATAGAACGTTTGTCGGGGCGGAACAAGATTTTCGTTGTAGACCGTGTGATACTTCAGCGCATCGATATAACGGCGATCTTGCTCTTCTATCGCGAGACCCGAGCGACGCTGCTGTGAATGTAAAGTCGTGAAGCTCGAGGCGGTTGCAAACACTAGTGCGGATGCAGTAACGCCGCCGCCGAGGTCACAGCCCTCGCATGGACCAACGTGGGTCGTCATCGCATTGAGACAGCAAGTGCAGCCACCTGTCTCGACCAAAGTTTCAACATAACGTCTGCCTGCGCAGTCACATACTCTATTCATCCCCTCTCCACGTCGTATACCACCAACTCTAGAAAATTCAGCGAATATGGCCGGCGATCCACGAGCGCTGCTGCGACAGGTGGGGCCTACACTCACGACCCAGCCACACAGCAGATAACTGATATCGAGGTGGACAGGCAGAAACTTCATTGCAGAAGGCAGGCGGTGGCTTCAGTTTCTTCAGTAATAAGGCAGACAAGTGTATGGTACAGACAGCGGCATATGTGCTCTTTTTGGCTGACGCACGTGATAGATGAGGCAGCCGCAGAGCAGTTTATCGCTGCAGCAAATGCGTTCCGCATGCAGAAAATGGGTATGGGCAGATGCATCTTGCACCACAACGTGATGTTGAAGGTTAACGAACTCCAGGCAAGGAGGCAGGCGAGGCTTTCGAAAAGGCAGCATCAGTACAACGTCAGCACCTGAACGAACCTGATGACGAAGCAAACACGCTCACAGACGCCTTCAGTATGCTTCTACTCTCACGTTGGATTCAGTTTCAACTAACGCGACATCAGAGGCCTACCGCAAAGATGACCCAGAAGCCGCAGCGAGGTGTTTAGACAAAGCCATTGCGCATTACTGCGCCAAAGGCAACTTCCGCCGCGCAGCCACTCACAAGCAGAACCTTGCCGAGCTCTACGAAGTCGAGCTTGGTGACAACGCCCGAGCCGGAGCCGCCTACGAGGAAGCGGCTGGCTGGTACGAGAGCGTAAGTACTGTATCATAATATACTCTGGACTACATGCTAACCTATCTCTAGGACAACGCCGAAGTAATTCACCCAACACCCAACTTTTTGGCAAAAACTAACCAACCCTCACAGGCACTCGCCAATAAGCTTTGGCTCAAGACTGCTGATCTCGTCGCCCTAGAAGGCAAAGACTACTACAAAGCCATCGAGCTTTACGAGAAGGTCGCAAAGACCTCGATCTCCAACAACCTCATGCGCTGGTCTGTCAAGGAATACCTTCTCAAAGCTGGTATCTGCCAGCTATGCACAGGCGATCAGGTTGGCGTCAACACTGCGCTTGACAGGTACAGGGAGCTAGATCCAAGCTTCCAGCAGCAGAGGGAGCACGCGCTGCTTGTTGATCTGGCAGGTGCGGTGCAGGAAGGCGACCAGGAGATGTTTGCCGATAAGGTATGTTTTCCCAAGAATTACGCTTTCCAAGAATGCGTTTATTGACGCGTGATAGCTGTTCCAATTCGACCAGCTGAGCAAGCTCGACAAGTGGAAGACCACGCTTCTGTTGCGGGTCAAGAACACGATTGAAGAAGGAGGCGAGGACTTCTCGTAGAAGCCGATTATTAGGAAGGGTTTCTGCTCTACACTGCGCTCTAATTTGCTTTTGTGTTCGGTGTAGACATTGTGTCTTTGGATCCTACAATAGAATGAGATCTCACAACATCACCGTGTGCAGCATAATGATGATCGCGATGTCTGTATCAATTCGTTCATTTACTGTTCAAAATTTACACGTGCTAGTGTGAAGTACCCGCTCCGCTGGGAAACAAGGCTATTATACATGGAATATGTCGTAAAGATCGTTGCGCTGCAAGAACATACAAACTCAGTGCTCCTATGAAGCCATCGCTTACAACTCCATGTTTTCAACAAGAGGCTGAAGGCGCTCCTTAAGGTCCTCGACGTCGAGCTCCTCACCCTTCCAGAAGACCTGCTCGCCACCAGCGGTCTTGGGTGGGATCAAGACGTTGGAGACGACCTGAATCACGCCATCGCTAGCAACGCCGTCGTGGACAGTGACGCGCGAGAAGCCGTTGATTCTAATCTCAACAAAAGGTCCGTAGCGACCGACATCAACAGCGAGGTTCTTGCCGCAAAGGGCAGTGGGCATGTCGTAGTGGTAGCCTCCCGGACGCTCCTGAACAGAGTCCTTGTCATCCTTCTTGCGTCCATCGTAGAACGCATCGGAGTAAAGCGTCTCATCAACAACGATGTGGTACTTTAGTAGAGCCTTGAGGTACTTCTCGCCGTACATTGAGAACAAGAAAGCATTGGCGCGCGCACCAAGTTTCTGGAACGCAAAGTTATTGGGGGCGAAGAAAGTACCGCCGTTGTGCTCGTACTCTGTGCTGTTCATCTTGTCGAACAGACCGGTCTTTCCTAGACCCAGCTCGAGCGTGCTGAACTCGCCGGGGAGCAGGTCGATGATGGAGGCGACGTTGGGGGGAGGCACGAGGATGGAGTCGACGCCGTGGACGACGCCGTTGGTGCCGAAGATGTTGACGGCTACGAGGCGGCTGTAGAAGTTGATCGCGGGGCCCTTGAGTGTAACGCGGACGGTCAGGCGCTGCGAGTGGCCTAGAAGCTTGCTGGGTGCGTAGAGAGTTGGGATGGTGTAGGTCTTGAGTACGCGGCCAGCAGGGTACAAGTCGTCGGTGACGTGGTACAGGAGGATGTCCTTCAGAACCTCCTTGGAAGGCTTGTGGTGGTGCTCAGGGATCTTCTCAAAAGCCTCGTCTGTGGGGGCGAAAACGGTGTAGTTTGCCTTGGTGCTGTTGAGTGCCTCGACGATGTCGTCAAACTCGTTGATCCACTTTGCGAGCTTTGTAGTGTATTTGCTCTCGTTGATGAGCTCGTAGACTGTGCGGTTTGGCTTCTGGTCGTGCGGAGGGTGGTGAGGCTTGCCGTGATGTGGCGGCCCATCGTGGCCGTGATGAGGGTCCTCAAAGTCAACGACACTGTCGTCGAATTGGTTTCCCTCTAACCACGACTCAACGTCGGCGCCAGCATGATGGATCTTGCTGTAAACATCCTTGGCACCGTCCTTGACCTTTCTGAACGCATCGTCAAGCACGCTCTGGGCGTTGTCGAAAACATTGTGAGCGCCATCGACAAGCTGCTTTCCAGACTTCTCGATGTTGATGTTGGAGAAGACTTCCGGTTCGGTAATGACAAATGCAGTCGCCAGAGGCAAGACTGGTACAACGCGTGAGAACCGCATGGTGACCTAGTGAGTGATGGGGAATCGGGGGATGGGGAAAAGTTGGTAGAGGAACACAGGTAAGATGTAGCTAGGTAGCGAAGCTAAAGAGTAAGCCGAGTCGATTACAACACCACTGCGTGGCGACATTATTGGGGGGCGGAGCGTCGGTAAGTGACCCGCTTGTTTGGGTGTCGGACTACAAGGCGGACGAATTCAACGAACCAGAATTGTGCCGGAGGGGATAGAGGAAGATGCTGCAGCAATGCTTGGACAGTTTTGCTTTCATATTCACTCGTATACCTAGGTACAAACACCCAGCCTCGAGGTATACGTCCGACACACCGTCGAGGCCGCGAGGCGGCGTGCTGTACGTACCAGGCTGTCAAGGACGCGTCAGTCGATCTTCCCCGCGTTTCCACGGCGGAGGCGGATGTGCTGGATGGCGACGACGTGACTACGTCATGATCACCGATCCATCTCACCACCCGAAACTTTGAGTGTTTCGTAGCCTTCAACCGGGTAAGTCTGCGATCTGAGATCCAGTCTTTGGGATGCTCTAGCGGATGTGTATACACTTCCGCTGGGAACCTCCAACATTCAATCCGCATGGGATGCTTGGGGTGTCTGGCTTATCACGTGATGACGCGCTTTCGGCGAAACAATGTACCGGAGGGGTTTCGTCATCGACCCATCAATAGCACAAACACATCAGGGCTACTTGCTTCCGGCTAATGCTACAACGCAGGTTCGTCACCATGCGTTATTTTCGCTCTGCGCTTTCTCTGCAAGGTACGAGGCTAGATCAGCCAGTACCAGAAGCCTACGCGTATGCTGTTACTTTGTTTGCCGGTTCTCCGGTTGAGCACATAGCCAACACCCGCAGTGGGCCGCGGAAATGCATCCTTCATTGGCTGCCATGCCTTCAACGGGGCCTTTTCACTGCCAGAAACAAGCTTTTTACCAAGCAAATGTCAAGCTTTTCAGACTGGGTTCTGCCTGGGCTGCATGTTCGAGTTTTTGCTGCATTGCCGGTGTGTCTGCGAGCGATAACGGACGTAATGTGTCGTCATGCGCATGTACGCTTTCTACGTGTACCAGCAAACACTCGTATAAGACTGACGTTCTCTGCGCGATACATGCAAAACTTGCACCAATTCCAATCTGTACTAACATAAACACCTCCTTCGAACATCCTTCATCATGGCCGGACTCGCTAGACACGTTGACACCGATGAGCTCCTCGAGACTCTGAAGGACCACCCCATGCACAAGGCTGGAGGCCACAAAGCTTCGAGCCGGGCGACATCACACATCACACCATACTCAAGTCGCTATGCCGCTGGTACCGAATTGTCGAAATTCAAGATTCCTCAAGATGGTGCTCCGGCGGACGTCGTTCACCAGTTGCTCAAGGACGAGCTTGATCTGGATGGGCGTCCAAGTTTGAACTTGGCGTCTTTCGTCGGAACCTACATGGAGAAGGAGGCCGAGCAGCTCATGATTGAGAACCTGTCGAAGAACATGTCAGACGCTGACGAGTACCCTGCAATGATGGATATGCACGCACGGTGTGTTTCCATCATTGCTAATATGTGGGGAGCACAGAAGGGCGAGAAGGCCATTGGATCAGCGACTACTGGTTCGAGTGAGGCTATCCATTTGGGTGGACTTGCAATGAAGCGTCGCTGGCAAGAGAAGAGGAGGGCGGAGGGCAAGGATACTTCGAACCCCAACATTATCATGGGCGCAAATGCACAAGTCGCACTGGAGAAGTTTGCAAGGTACTTTGAGGTTGAGTCACGTATCCTGCCCGTAAGCGAGGAATCGTCTTACCGTTTAGATCCAAAGCTGGTGAAAGAGAACATTGACGAGAACACTATCGGTGTGTTTGTCATTCTTGGTTCCACATATACCGGACATTACGAGCCTGTCGAAGAAATCTCCGATATCCTGGACGCTTTTGAG